GTCTGCGATCCTCTTCAGTGGTGTCCCTGCTACCATCTCCTATGATCGCCAGACTTTTTTGTCCTTTCCTTCGTTCACAATCGCCCAAGACGCACCAAGGACGTACCTTCCTGTTTGTTAACCTGAGTAACGCACTGGCCCGGAGCCAAACGACAATTCCAACCAGGGCGCCTCCAGCGATGTTTATCTGGTCCCGGGAAAACGTCGGAGGAAAAGAGGTAAACGAGCAGGAATCCAGGTGAGAATAAGACTTCTCTTAAAGCGTGGTTTATCTAGTAAATATCGGCGTGATCTTCTAGCTTCTTGTTCTTTGTTTGGTGTCTTGAGCGCCACTTCCGCATTCCTGCCAGACCGCGTTAAGGCGCGGTTTCTCCGTCCAAGTTTTTTAAGGTCGGTTTATCCTCATTCCTCAGTGGTTTCTCCTCCTGTTCCCTGCATAAGTGTTTTTTATAAACACCGTAGATCTAACCCTGCTAATTTACGTCCACTAACTCCAGCTGTTTCTGTAGTTTCTGATTCCTCCACTTCACTCAGCATGGCTCTAATAAATACCCGCTCTGTTAACAATAAGTCCTTCCTGCTCAATGATCTAATTCTCTCTAAAAACCTGGATTTTCTGTTTCTGACTGAAGTTTGGCAGCAAACATCTGATTATTCTGGTCTGATTGAACTCTACTTGAGTGGTTATTCTTTTCCTAGCCAGCCCCGGGGTTCTGGTTGTGGTGGAGGCCTAGCTGTTGTTTTCAGAGACTATCTTCCATGTAGCTCTACAACCTCTGGTCACTTTGCATCCTTTGAACTGCAGCTGATTAAAGTCGGGCGTAAGAACCCGTTCTACTGTGCTGTTGTCTATCGTCCACCTGGTCCAAACAGTTCTTTCCTTCAGGAGTTTAGTGACTTTCTATCCTCCTCTGTGAAGCTGTCCAGACTGGTGATTGTTGGTGACTTTAACATCCATGTTGATGATCCCTCCGATCTCTTTGCCATGAATTTCTCCAGCCTTATGGACTCCTTCAGCTTTACCCAGTATGTTTCTGGCCCCACACACACCGGGGGCACACTCTAGACCTTGATTTTACCCTGAGTCTAAATGCTGATAGTGTTTGTCCTGAGGACGTTTATGTTTCAGATCGCCATTGCATTTTCTTTAACTTGTCAGTTTCTGCCTCCCCACCTCCTGCTCGCCATGGTCAGTTCTCCATTTTCTTAATGAGAGCACAGCTAGAATTTTTTCTTAACATTCTTTAACATTGTAATGAAAATACATTTCTGCTTCGTTCTGCCAGCTCATGACAAAGTCTTTCAAAAATAAATCATTATGTGGATTCAAACAATAGTTAACCATAGCGAGATCTGCAATAGTGCTCTCAGTCCAATTTTTGAAACGTCATCTTCACGCCTTTTAGCTATTATTTAATTTATATCAATTGTCATTATTTCTTAAGTCCAGGCTCAATCATAGTTTTACAGTACATCTCAGCCTCACTTCGTTCCTGAAACTTTTTTGTCTCTTCTTTAAAAATTTAGATCAGCGTAGCTGGAAAGACCATACCGTGTCTCACTCCTGCACTCTTCAGTTTAGCTCTGATCTCCCAGAAACCGGCCCGTTTCTTTGCCATCTCCTTTGTCAGATCCGGAAAAATCTTTAACTTCATTCCTCGTACTTGTAAGACACGTTTCTTTTTCATCACTTCTATAATCTTCTCCTTCGTTGACAACTTTTGCAGGCGCACAACCATCCCTTCCTGCAGTGAACCCTACTCCCTGGTTTAACAACAGCCTTCGCAGCCTAAAGCACCAATGCAATAAAATTGAGCGCTTGTGGAAGAAAACCCATCTCCACGTCCATCTGCTACACCTAAAGGATCTTCTGACATCCTTTAACTCTGCAGTCAGAGACGCTAGGGTTTCCTATTTCTCCAACCTGGTGTCCCAGAGCAAAGGGAACCCCAAGGTGCTGTTTAACACCATCAGCAGCATCGTCTCTCCTGCCTCTCCTACAGCCTCCATCCACTCTGTTGCAGACTGTGAGAACTTTCTGTCTTTCTTTGTGGACAAAGTCAATAAGGTTAGATCTAGCATCTCTCCTTCAGCCTTATCGCTGCCTCTCCCGACTCCAACCAGGCCCATCATCCTAGATAGCTTTGCTCCTGTTTCTTTGCCTGAGTTAACCAAACTAGTTAACTCTATGAAGACCTCTGAATGCCCCCTCGACATCTTACCCTCATCTTTGTTTAAAAGTGCTTTTCAGTCCATCGGTCCCAGCGTGCTCTCTATAATTAATGCGTCTCTGGTCAGGTCCCTGCTTACTTTAAGAACGCTGTAATCCACCCGCTTCTTAAAAAACCGAGCCTCGACCCCTCTCTCCATAGCAGCTTCAGACCCATCTCTAAACTTCCGTTCATCTTCAAGATCTTGGAAGAGGTTGTGGCTTAACAACTCACAGCTGCTCTTGATGAACATAACATCAATGATAGCTTCCAGTCAGGTTTTCGTACAGCTCATTCTACTGAAACAGCTCTTCTTAGGGTCTCTAATGACCTTCTGACTCACAGTGATGTAGGGGACTGTTCTGTTCTGGTCCTGCTGGACCTGACTGCAGCCTTTGACACTGTTGACCATCACCTGCTACTGGAGAGGCTGAGAGACTGGGTAGGCCTATCAGGATCTGCTCTGGAGTGGTTCTCCTCTTATCTTTTTGAGCGCTCCTTTTCTTTGGCCGTCTCCAAGTTTAGGTCCTCCACCACCTCTCTTACACATGGTGTCCCACAAGGTTCTGTGCTGGGGCCTCTGCTCTTCCTCTATCTGCTTCCTCTTCAGCACATCCTGAGCTCCTTCAAAGGAATCTCCTACCATCTTTATGCAGATGACATCCAACTGTACATCTCCTTTAAGCCCCATGAGATGTCTAAGCTGCAGCTGTTACACACCTGCTTAGACTCTATCAAAACCTGGATGGCTGGGAGCTTTCTTCAGCTGAATGAAGATAAGACTGAGATCCTCATCTGTGCCCCAGACAAGCTGGTTCCCAAAGTCAGAGACTCTCTTGGTCAGCTTGCTTCTCACATCAAACCTTCCGTCAGGAATCTTGGCGTGACCTTTGACTAGGGTTGTCACGGTAACCGGTATAGCGGTAAACCCCGGTAAAAAAGTTGACAATAAAAATAACCGTCCAGTTTTTAAAAAACTATATTATCTCGGTGGGTTTACCGTGGCCGCGGTTTCGGCGCGATGACCCTTACCAGCCACCGTCGCTTCAGCTGAAGTTCCCGCTGCGCGCACACGCACTTTTTAATTTGCAACGGCACCAAAACTTTGAAGCTGAAATAACGGCCGAAGGAGGCGACGGCAGCGCCCAGGACATCCATCAGCCCTCAAAGAAGACTAAATCGGAAGTATGGGCATATTTGGGATTTCTGAAAAATGCTGAGGGACAGTTAATAGAAGACGGCTATCCCGTTTGCAGAACGTGCAGGAAACAAGTGTCTGCAGAAGGCAGCAACACTTCAAATCTCATGGCACATCTGCGTGACGATCACCCACGTCTCCACAGCCAGTGCAAGGTAAGATAACATTAGCATTTTAGCTGAAATGCATGACGTGAGGACTTTTGGTTGAGGGAGAATGCAACGAGTCACTATAGACTGCAGCCGCAGCGTCCTCTGCCAGCATTTAAACCGTGTCACGGACACCCTGTTGCTGGATGAAGCATCTTATTTGTTGATGATGAAGAGAAATATACAATTAGTTCCTTGTCATGGATTTGTTTACTTATTCAATGCCATTTATACTTGAACATTTGGATTTGATTACATAGTGTAGTAGTTATTTTAGTAATTTGTTTAAAGTGGATATTTATTTTAAATACATATTTTTTAAGGTTGACTTGTACAGCGCTCAAGTCAAGTGTGGACTGGAGTTTTAGATTTTCATTTTGATAATGAAGAAAACAAGTATATGAGAAAACAAGTGGTGTTTCTTTGATTTGTTTACATATTGTTTATGTTTTGAATGTTTGGATTTGTATAATTTAAACCTGCACTGACTACTGTAACATGTTCCAGAAAAAGAAGCTATTTGTTCCTTTACTTGTGAAAAGTTGCACTTTTGCTAAGGCTTTGTGTTATTTTAGGTTTAATAAACACTGTTAAACCTTTTCAGAACTATTTCAGTTTGTGTAGAACAGGACTATCAATGCTTTCTGAACATATGCAACACCGTTTAAAAAATACCGCGATAATACCGAAAACCGTGATAATTTTGGTCACAATAACCGTGAGGTTAAATTTTCATACCGTGACAACCCTACCTTTGACCCAGCTCTCACCCTGGATTCTCATGTCAGTTCTCTTGTTCGCTCTTCCTTCTTCCATCTCAGGAACATTACAACGCTGAGTCCCATTCTGTCCCGCTCTGAACTTGAGACAGTTCTCCACACCTTCATCTCCTCACGCTTAGACTACTGTAACTCTCTTTTCACGTGTCTGAGCAGAACCTCCCTGAACCGTCTACAGGTGGTTCAGAACGCCTGTGCTCGGCTTCTGACCAAGTCCTCCAAACACACCTACATCATCCCGCTTCTCCTCCAGCTTCACTGGCTGCCAGTCAGCTTCAGGGTTCATTTCAAGATCCTGGTTCTGGTCTATAGGACCTTACATGGACAAGCACCATCTTACATTGGTGATCTTCTTAGTCCCTACACCCCCAGCAGGTCCCTGAGGTCCAATGACCAAAGAAATTATATTTTCGTCTTCTTCTTCTGGCTGTTTCCTGTTAACCTGCTCAGTGTGAATATGATCTCTCAGGTGAACTCCTCCCATTTGATTCTTCTAACCTTTTGTTACATTGGTGATATTTGAAGCCATATAAAAGTCTGAATGATGTTCGTGTTTTTAATATTGAGGACAATCTGTGTGAAACGCTAACGTAAAAAGCCATTTAATGCCTAAACATTTGACTTTTTACCTGCTCGTGTCCCATTTATCATTTCCCTGTCGCAGCAGCTGCAGATGACCGGTCGGCCCTGCTAGCCCACAAGACTGCAGTCTTGTTTCCTGTTAGGCTGTCAGAGCCCGGGGCTTTGTCGGTCCAGACTCCAGGAGAACCCGAGGCACCAATCAGCTCTTCTGCTATCGCTGAACCACCTGACCTGACTGGCTTCCAGCATGCCGCCCAGGTTGTTGCCGACACAGCTCCTCCCGAATCCCCCCCAGCTGGAGGTGTTCAGGTGAACAGTAAAACCTCAGCACCAGAAGAGGCTCCGGCTCTGGTTCCAGCAGCAGACGATGCCTTCCCAGCTGCCACAACCCCTGATGAGTTGTCTTCCTCATCATCAAGTGACTCTGATTCAGACTCAGATTCGGAGGATGAGGAGCTGGAAGAGCAGACTGATACCAGGAGTTCATCATCAGAATGTATAGAAGCTACTCTACTAGAAAAGACACAAGTCCAGGACTTCAAAGGTACTGAAGGATGGGCTGATGCTGAAACCAAACACGAGGCAGCAGAAGCAGTTCCGCCTACAGTGAACCCAGCCAGTGTTGCTCCTGAAGAGTCAGGAAAGTTAAGTCCTGAGATCGGTGCTCCTACACGAGGGGCAGCAGAGGCTTCCAGGTCAGAGGTCCATGCTGATGTGGCAGAAAGTGCTTCAGTCGTCACCGTTGCTAAAAACAAATCTCCAGCTTCAGATGTAACCCAGGCTGATGTTCCTGTGGAGGTCATGAAGAATTTCATAAAGGATCCTGCAGAACCAGTGGTAGCCTCTACTGGAGAGTCTCAGGATGGAGCTGCTGTGAGTGCTGTGACATCAGAGAGTGCACCCGCTGAAGCTCTCGCTGCTGCCGTTTCCATTCCTACAGACAACACAGAGGAGCTGTTGGACCCTGCCCCGGTTTCAGCTGAAGCTGCAGAAGCACTCGCCGCTGCACCTGCTGCAGCACCAGCTAAAGCACTCGCCGCTGCACCTGCAGAAGCACCAGTTAAAGCACTCGCTGCTGCACCTGCAGAAGCACCAGCTAAAGCACCCGCTGAAGCTCTCACTGCTGCCGTTTCCATCCCTACAGACAACACAGAGGAGCTGGTGGACCCTGCCCCGGTTTCAGCTGAAGCTGCAGAAGCACCCACTGCAGCACCAGCTAAAGCACTCGCTGCTGCACCCGCTGAAGCACTCGCTGCTGCACCCGCTGCAGCACCAGCTAAAGCACCCGCTGAAGCTCTCGCTGCTGCCGTTTCCATCCCTACAGACAACACAGAGGAGCTGGTGGACCCTGCCCCGGTTTCAGCTGAAGCTGCAGAAGACGAGCTGCAGGCCGAGACTCCTGCTGAACAGCCTAAGGGTACATACCCCCCCACCCCCAATACATAAATACACCATTCTCTCTTTGTGGAGAAATTGTCGCTGGTAGCTTTCTGGTGTAGGGCATCCACGCTGTCACACCCTCAGCTTATTTAACCATGTTTGGACGCTGGTTCGTCACTAACTAACCTCTGACCTCCTTTAGCTCAGCCTGGTGGATTCTGCATGAGGTGGATGCTCATGTCTGACTGTGCAGGTTTTCTTTTTTTAAAGCACTGATGACCTCTGCTCTCAGATGTGCGCCTGACCCTCTCATGTCATGCTTGGCTGTTTCCTGCTTCACCCCAAGAACATTCTGATCGTGTTTCTTCTGCTGTAATGGCTCACTATTAAACTCTATGACTGGAATGTTCTGCTGAAGACGGCTCCTTACTGCTGGTTGCAGCGGTGGGGTTGGACTGCTCCAGCTAATGGTGTGTTTAAGCAGAACCCCTTGTTGGAGTCTGGGAGGAGTTCAGAGAGAACGACTGTAGATGTTTTAAGTTCCACATCCTGATCTGGTTTTGGACCATAGCCTTTGGTTAAAGTGGCGTCCATCATGTCTCCACTGCCTGTGAAATTCTGCTGCTTTTTATTAAGATCCTACTCATTTGTTCTTAACCTGGAGGTTGTTGACGAGTGGGGATTAGTAAATGTGTTTGTCTTGAATTGTTTTGATTAGAGTATATTTATTTAATCCTGTGTGATCTTTGGTTTTCTGCCCCTTTTAGAGCCCGTGTCATATGTTAGTCTTTTGTAGATGTTGTATTCACTTCTTACAAACACGAGCCCTGATCCCTTCCACCCCATGGGATCAGCCCTACGAAGCCAAAGCTCTGCTGTCACTTCTGATGGTTACATGTAACTAACCTAACCGTTCTCCTTCCTGCAGAGGCAGCAGCAGCAGAAACTCCAGCGCCCGAGGAGCCTTTTGACAACAGCACGTATAAAAACTATCAGCACCACGGCTACACCGCCTACACCTTCGTAGACCTGGATGTGGCGATGGCCCAGTATCGTCTCCCCCAGCCTTCCTCTGGCAGACCCTCACCCAGACACTGAGCTGAACCTTATGTTTAATGTTAATGTGATTGTCCCAAAACCTAAGATGTGATTAAAGTACACAAGCTGATGTGATGCACGTGTGTTTGATGTAAATGTTTGTTGGCCTGATTTGAGCTGAATAAAGAGAAGCTAGCTTGTTTTACTGGGATGACCGGCTGCGTGTGTGCAGCCCAGCCGCCTGGCTGTAGATGTGTGGAGGAGGATGAGGACAACATGGTGCAGAGGAACCAGGCTGCAGGACGTCATGTCTCCGCCCGCATCATACATATACATGAGGTGAGCGCCACTGCGTGCCCTTGCGCGATGACGCAACAGGACAACTGCGGGTCCCGATTGCTGCAGCCGCTTGTCAGTGTGACGAAGATTGGCACTCAGGTAAGCTGTCACTCAAAATCCCTCTTTTTCCGTTCCCTATCAATCAAACAATCTGGGCCGCTCGCAAAAATGCCCCGGGGCGAGGAGCGTGGACAAGGCGGCGGAGGGTGGTTTTTAAATGGAAGCAGAAGCGGCAGCGCTACGGAAGGAATAAAAAAATATATGCAAGGGAGGGAGGGTAAAAAATATGTCTGCTTGTTGGGGGCAGAGGAGGATTGTGTAAAGCAAAGGGCGAGCACTCCGAACGAGGCCCAACATGTTAGCGCGGAGGGAGGGGAGGGAGACGGCAGCTGTCCCTGCCTGTGTGATTGATTGATGGGGAAGGATTTGAGAAGAAATCGTGCCAGCCTCGTGTCCAGTCCTCTACTTGTTGCTCTTCACAGCTGATTTAAACTAGAACGTTTAATAAAACCACTCTGATCGGCGCGAACGGGACTGGGGCTGTCACATTAAGCGGTTACACGGCTCGCTGCATATCAATCCGCAGCGGGGTCTTTTTCGCTGCCAGGCTTGCTAGGTTAGCATGTTTTTATTTTTAAACTCCGGTTATTCCGCCTTGCAAATATGGCGCTCTGCATCTAGGTTGCACCATTGCAGCAAGTAAAACGTAATAAGCACCAGGTCCCCCCGCGATGGCTACAGCTAGCGCTAGCTCCACCAGAGCTAGATGAGCTAACGCTAGCGCTACAGCACGGCTCCGTGTGAAGGACAAACAACCGTTATTGCTACCGAGCAACTTTGTTAATGGATGTTTCAGTCCTAGAAGGTAGCCGGCCCAAATAATGACATTAATACTTCTCTCTTATCACCGCCTAAAGCGACACCGACTAACGGCTAATTTATGGTGGGTGTGTTGAGTTGCACCGGAACGCTAACAACACAACACGGACCAGCGTTGGGGACATAAACATAAAACACAAATACAGATGAACGATTAGTTTGTCATTAAACCACCAGTGATGTTGAAATTGAGTTATTTGTTCATCAGCACATTCTTTTGCAGCTGTAATTCATCTGGCACTTCATACGCATAAACCCAGCATGTCCTTCATCTTAACTAGCCTACTAAGCTAATGATCTTTGTTTGTGAGGAGAGGATGACTGACACGTTTTGTACCTGCACTGATGGCAGTTTTACTGAACTTGTGTATTGTGTAGGTTGGCTACCTGTCCCTGCTCTCTATAATGCCCCAGTGGTTGCCGTGTCTGCAGTGAGCGTGATGGCAGCCCAGTCGGTTTCCATAGACAAATACCCAAAGGGAGAGCAGCAGGTGGGTGCAGGGGTGACCCGAGGGTTTGCACGACCTGCTCCTAGTGTGGCTCCAACACAGCAGTTCAAACAAGTCACCACAGTAATCACATCAACATGCTCGCTGCACTCAGCTGATCAGCTACTTCATCTTAGTCGTGATAAATAATAAGAGCAGCCTTGACTGTGCTTACACACACACTCAGCAGACATTTCTTTTAAGAGTTTGTGTTTTTATTTTAAAATGTGGGTGCCAGGACCTAAAAGAGACAGTAAACCTAAGTGATGATCAGCAAAAGTCGCATGATTGGTGATGAATTTGTTCTTCTGTGTGGTGTCTGCACAAGTGCATGGCGAACACGTGTTAACGGCACAAAGCTCATCCCCCAGGTCGTGATGGTGCTCTGCTCACCCGGCACAGTGTTCTCGTTAACAATCAGGTCCTGGTAGTTGCTATGGTGATGCTAAGGTCTTTATAGATATGAAATTATGTCATCAGTATTTCATAACACTGAAGAAGTGGGGAAGCCATCACTATGATCCATGAGGTCATCCTAGGATTCAGACCAAGGCTGGAGAAATGCCCTCACGCTGAGGTATGTGGTGGAGTCGGACTCCTGGACCACTTCTCTACTCGTGCAGGACGAGACTCGTTAGTGATCTTACTAAAGGAGTGCTAAGCTTCGCTGTGTGGCAACATGCTGAGTGCTGTGGGACAGTGCACAAGGACCTGATTAGATGTTAGGAGCCTTCGTGTTTCTCCTGTTAAACACTGAAGAAAAGCACAAAAACAAGACTTTCTTCATCCGGATGACTTGTTACTGATCTAAAACGGCGTCCTTGCTGAATAGCTCAAGTTTATAAACACCTGACCTGCCATCTTTTCTTATTACGTTTACTTTTACTGATCAAAGAGCATTTACAGATGCTGTGAGTCTGGCTGAGTTTATTTTACGCCATGTGACTCCGACGGCTCTGTTCTTGCGCCTCTAGCATCACATGATGCTCTTTGTGTTTTTGTTCCTCTGCTTTTCCCGTGTTTTCTTCCTACAGCTGCGGTTAGTTAACTTTTCTTCCCACTTGTGTGTTTCTCCTGTTCCTGCAGATGCAAAGTGTGTTAAAGGTTGACCACTCGGAGCAGAGCTTTGCAGAGGTCGAGGTGCCCATGCCATCACCTGAACCGCAGACCCCTATGGACGCAGACAAAGCATCTATATATCGGTAGTGATGCTAGCTCATCTGTCATCTCTAACATTTGAATTTCTAAATTGAGTCGTCGTTGCGGGGGTGCAGTCTAACGGCGTGTTTGTTGGTGCACCTTTACCAGGCACCCTCTCTTCCCTCTGCTGGCCCTGCTGTTTGAGAAGTGTGAGCAGTCCACTCTCAGCTCTGATTGCATCACCTCAGCCAGCTTTGATGTGGACATTGAGAACTTTGTTCATTGTCAGGAGAAGGAGGGGAAGCCCTTCTTCAGCGAGGATCCTGAACTTGACAACTTGGTGAGCTGCACAGTCCTCTCAGAGGTTTGGCTTTCATGCCTACCTCGGGTGTGTTTAGGACCCATTTTTACTTTGTCAGAATTTTCTAGCACAACTTCAACACTTCTGTCTAAAACAGCAAGGATCTCTTCATATGGCAAGAGTGTATCCCAGAGCAGGGGGGAGAGGCGCACACACAGGTCACACCAAAGTGGTGTTTGCTGTAGCAAGTCTAAAAGCATCTGTAGTTATCATCGATATATAAATATATGGACAATGGGTTTCCATAGGCTCCAATAACATGTTTTTGAAGAAAAATGGGAGGTGGCCACCACCGCCATTTTGACCGTGTCACGGGTTCCGTCAAGCCCAGACAATTCCACAAAAGGGAAGAGAGGTGGAGCTGAGGGTGGGGCTGTAAGGCTGGGATCAACTGACGACACCCGGTCGAACTAGCTACAAGCTAACCTGAAGCTAATGCGGAGGTGGGAGCTAAGCTAATGGAGGTAGCAACCTAGCTACAACCGTAGTTAACTGTGCACAACACCAGAGCTTCTGAGTCAGAGATACGCCGGGCTGACCGCTGGGGAGAACCGGGTGGAAAACATCGGTCTCCCGAGAGCTCCACAAGCCGATAGTCGGAACCCAGCTCCACCAACATGTTATATTTCAACCCATTTTCTAAAGTGCAGCATTGTGTTAAATGCACTGGGGTTTACCCTATTACATTTAAATTTCATGGTTAGACAGTACATGTTAAAATCTAAGCTCAGCTCGGCAGTGACCTAAAATACATAAATATAATTTTACTTACCGAAAAAATGAAGTGGATACTCCTTTGACGCTCTATTAGTGCAATTAATGCCACAGCAAGTCATTTTGTCCAACAATTGCACAAATAATATCCAAAAAAGAATACACAAACACAGAGACTCAAAATCCCGGAGCAGTTTCCAGGCCAGACCGAGGCTCTACTGAGGCCTTTCCACGGAGCTAGCTCTGTGGTCACGTGGGTCTGATGCTCATTAATTATACAGAATTTTAGGCTTTTAATACACTTAAACAGAAGAGTGAGAAAAAAATTCACCCCCCTCAGAGTTGTCATGAGTGTAAACTAGATCATTTAAACCAAAAATATGTTTTGGTACCAGGCTGTAAACATGTTTATTTCTGCTCTGAAATTGGTATTTTTAACATGGGAGTCAGTGAGGATTTGCTCGCTTCTGATACCAGCCCCTAGTGGATAAGGGTGGAACTGCAATTTTTGTCACTTCCGGGTTTGCCTCAATTTTAGAGCCGCATTGTGGGGGCCTGGTAGTTATCTAAAAAGAAGGAGCGGTCTGATTCAGACATCAGTGAGGACACATGCAGAACAGCAGCAGGCAGCTTACATGTTAAAGACTGAATGTGCTGTTCCTCTGATGTTGAGATGGTGAAAGCCATCCAGGTGCTGCGGATCCACCTGCTGGAGTTAGAAAAGGTGAGCGATCTGTGTAAGGACTTCTGCAGCCGCTACATCGCCTGCCTTAAGACCAAGATGAACAGTGAGACTCTACTGAGTGGAGACCCAGGTAGTCCATACTCACCCGCACACGGCCAGCCACAGAACTTCTCCCCCACCAAGACTCAGGTGTGCAATGTAAGTAGACGTAGTCAGAGGCACTCAGCGCATTCATGATGAGCAGCTAAAGCAACCATTGTTCACTATGCAGACCCCCAGCTCCATCTCCAGCGCCATCAGTCCCCAGGGTCAGATCGTGGTGCCTGCATCTGCCCTGCAACAAGGAAATGTTACTGTTACCGCTGTCAACCCCAACCAGGTGGTCACAGGTAGGTCGTCAGGACACGCCCCTCAGGTACGGGGCCGGCAACAAAAGGAGAAGTTCATGATGTTTGTTCTTCTTTCAGGAGGCACAGTTTACCAGCCAGTCACAGTCGTTACTCCTCAGGGCCAGGTGATGACACAGGCCCTGTCCCCTGGGACGATACGCGTCCAGAACAATCAGGTACTCGCCTCATGGTGCTGCTTAGAAGAGACAGCAGAGAGGGGACCTCACTGGTTCTCACTGCAGACTCTAGATGTCCACGGTGTGTGTGTGTGTGTGTGTGTTCAGCTTCAGCTGCAGTTTCATCAGGATCTGAACCTCTTCAATCATGACGACAACTCAACCAAGAACAAGCGCGGTGTTCTCCCCAAACACGCCACCAACGTCATGCGCTCTTGGCTTTTCCAGCACATCGGGGTGAGCGTGAACGCATCATATCCTGTGTGTGAAACGCCTGTCACCCTTTTAAAAGTGTCGACTGAATTCTCTCCCGTTCCTCCGTGCAGCATCCTTACCCCACAGAGGATGAAAAGAAACAGATTGCAACCCAGACAAACCTGACGCTGCTGCAGGTCAACAACTGGTCGGTTTCCATTCATCAGCTTTACTTGTCAGATGAGTCAGTCGTGTTCTCAGCAGAGCTGCTTTTCGTCACGGTGAAGCGTAGATGTTTGATGGCTTGTACATTCATCCAAATAGAAACCTGTAGATTTCTGAAGGACCAGACTAAAACATCACTCTCTATCTGCTCTGGTAAATCCCAATTGGCTGCTCATGATCACCTGACTGGTGTGTGTAGACCCAGTGTGTGTGACTGGTACAGACTAGAGCAGAACCATCATCAGACATAAGGATTCTCAGCCTGAGTTCATGAATGTTCCTGCTGAGGGAAACATCTTGTTTTGAAAGGTTTATAAACGCTCGGAGACGAATCTTGCAGCCGATGTTGGACGCCAGCTCTTCTGAAGCCCCCAAGACCAAGAAGAAAACTCCCCAGAATCGTCCGCTGCAGCGCTTCTGGCCAGACTCCATCGCAACAGGAGGCGGCACTCCGCAGCAGGTCGCCATGCCAGACGGTATGCCGCAGTAAATGTAACCACTCCATAACCAGGGGTTGCAGGTCCAAGCCCCGCTCAGTCTTTCACAGCTGTAGTGTCCTTGGGCTAGACATTTACCCTCCTTACCTGCTGGTGGTGTTCAGAGGGACACCTGTGTAGGACAGTCTCACTTCTGTCTGTACCCCAGAGCAGCTGTGGCTACGATGTAGCTCATCACCACCAGTGTGCGAGTGACTAGTTACCGTATTTTCACGACCATAGGGCGCACCGGGTTATAGGGCTCGGGACTCGGAACATATCAGTGCAAACCAGACATTGTGAAAATTATAAACAGCCAAAAGCACGCTTCACTTTACTGGTCTAGTCCTGTTTCAGACCTGGTTTAGAGCGCACGTGCACTTCCTCATTGCGTGCGCTGACGGCTCGTGCTCTTCTGATGCGCTGTGTTGAAGTTCAGAATGTGTTTACCGGTAGTTGATGGATTTAACCACATAAACTTTCCACATGAACAAAATCATGTGTGTGTTATAAATAGGCCTAAGAAAATAGTGTGATTTGAATTGTGTTTTATTAAAAAAAGGCAGCGGTAGCAAATATGAGTTCGGTTGTGCTTTATTTGAGTGCTATTAATTAATCATCAAATCATCAACGTCCTCATCTTCTGTATCTGATAAGAACAACTGGGCTCGAGTACAGTCAAACACGCCAGGTTCTCCCTCGTCACAGTCAGTCTGTTTCGTTGCCGTCCGTCTCCTCGTGAATGATGCCGGCTTTTGCAAAAGCCCGAACAACAGTACAAGTAGACACATTAGCCCAAGCATTTACAATCCATTCACAAATTGTGGTGTAACTCGCCCGGCGTTGCCTCCCGGTCTTCGTAAACATGTGTTCGCCGTCTGTCATCCATCGCTCCCACGCCGTTCGCAGCCTTACTTTGAACGCCCTGTTCACGCCAATGTCCAGCGGTTGGAGTTCCTTTGTCAAGCCTCCTGGAATGACAGCGAGCTCCGAGTTCATTTGCTTCACCTGTTTTTTCACACCGTCCGTGAGATGAGCGCGCATGGAGTCACAGATCAAATCTACGTTCGGGTCTCACAACAACACAATAGGCGCACCGCACCATAGGGTGCGGCGTACATTTTGGAGAAAATGTAGGACTTTTAGGTGAGCCTTATGGTCGTGAAAATACGGTAGTTGTAAAGTGCTTTGGGGGGTTGTAGAATTCTAGAAAATGCAACAGAAATACATACAGGCCATCTACCAAGATCTGCTTTGGTTGAGAACATGTCCAGTTTGAGCTGATGAAGGGATGGGATAGCCACCGCCCAGCGGGTCTGATCTAGCGCCATCACACTGATACATATTTACATACTTCACACCAGAGACACCTTTACACACACACACACACACACACACACACACACACACACACACACACACACACACACACACACACACACACACACACACTTGTGTACTGTGGAATGCCACCATATAAACAATGGGAGCCTCATATAGGACAGACAGCATCAGTAGGGGCTCCCTGCAGCACCTCTCAATCCTCCTGGGCTCTCTCTCTCTCTCAGGTACCATGGTGACGATGAACATGGAGGGTCTACAGAGTCTGACCTCCGATGGAGCCACACTGGCGGTGCAGCAGGTGATGATGGGAGGCCACAGCGAAGACGAGTCAGAGGACAGTGGAGACGAGGATGATGATGCAGACATGGCCAGGCTGGGCCTGGACCACAGTGACTCGTTGCAGTAGAGGACACGCTCTTTCTCACTCTGATCTACACACACAGGACGTGCAGACGTGGGTCTAGTCAGCGCAGACACATGAGGTTTACATCCAGCACAAACGTACAGCACCTACCAGAGGAGTTCTGTACTCTTCCAGCCCTCCTTCCTGCTAGCGTGTGTGTGTGTGTGTGTGTGTGTGTGTGTGTGTGTGTGTGTGTGTGTGTGTGTGTGTGTGTGTGTGTGTGTGTGTGTGTGTGTGTGCATCAGGAGTTTCACTTTTGAAACGGTTTTTTAATACGTTTATTCATGTAGGTGAGTGCACTTTTTGTATATTTAAGCTCTAAAATATAAAATCAGTTAGAAAAGAAAAAGACGTGTTGAGAACACCAGAAGCTACTTCGTATGCTCCGTTAATACATGTTGACTGATTTGTTTGTTTCCCTTGCCCCGGTTCCCGTTGAGTTTTCTTTTGGTTTTGGATGCCAACACTTGGAAGTAAGTTGTATACGTAACGGATCGTCTTCACTTTTGCATGCCTGTGTTTTGAGTAGATGTGCACACTCCTCCAGCTGACTCCACGGCTCCTGGGCCTCCGAGGGCTGAGCTGAGCACAAGTGGAGCGAGTGAGAAAATCGTAGAGATGCTTATTTTTCTATACAAACATATGGAATTAGTGTTTTTGTTTCATTTTGTGTTCCGTTTTGTAAGGAGTATTTATGTACAGATTCGTAATGAAACTTGGCAACCCTGTTTTTCAGGGTTCTTTGAAGTTTTCTAAAAACAGCAGAAGAAAATGGATGCTGATGAAATTGCTATTTAAATTGGTTTTAAAGTTACGATACTAACAAGGCCTTATCTGTGTTCTTTTGTAAAGACTTCTTACCAAGAAGCACAAACGTCTGACCCTTTGGTGAAATCGGTCAAAGAGACACTAAACTGCAGGACTAGGGAAAGCGACGGTTTGGGATTTCTCTGTGTTCTGAAACTTTGCTGTAAATCTGACAAATAACCTTTTGTAGCAGCCCGACTGCAGCGCTCCAGTCGTTTGAAGTACAGCTCCAGTTGGAGCTACATTGTGTATACCATACGTGCATCTTTGAATCGTTCCACTGGACTTGCATCAGCTCTGCCTTCTCACATGCACAATCCAGAACACTATGCTAACCACACAATCATGGGGCAGAAGCCTCTGGAGGGATGGTGTCAACCAGAACCATGTCAGCCAGAAGCAGTGGACATTTTGCACGCTTTTATTTCCATACATGTTCTCTATACTACATTGAAATGTACTTTTGGAATCCATGTCTCTGACCTGCATTAAGGACTGGGATGAAGCTCCACCGCTTCACCACTACAGATTCATGCAGGGAAGGATCTGAAATCCCTGGGTGGAGGTGTGATTACTGCACAAAGTGGGGTGCCTCTTGTTTGAATCACTGTAACATAGTGGACGACAGCTGCAGTAATCTGGTTTTTAGCCCTTTTGGTTACTTTTTGATGTGGCCTCGCAGAGCTTTGTTCTTCATTTGGGTTTGTCTTGCTTTTGATGAAGCGATGTTCACTGTTCTCTTGTCTGTTTTGCCTTAGAGCTTTATATTTTGGAATAAACAATGCCTAACTCTCCTCGTGTTGTAGCTTCTTCTCTCCATTCGCTTCAAGGACGTCCAGAGAGTCCAGTGTGAGACGGTTCTGAATGTGGTTACGAGGCAATGGGATGTCTGGATGGACCCAGAGGCGCGGTCACTGCTTCAGTCTTGTTAGTTATTTGTGCTTTGAGTAGAGAAGTTGTGATATTCTTCTCTCTGAAACAGACAAGGACAGTCCGAGTTAGCAGATCCGGTGGGATGTACGATCCAGCTGGAATCCTAAATGACCAGCTCTCCCACTCTTCTGAGAAAACTCCGATTCTGCGGGTGTTTTATAGTCGGTGCTGTGTTCTGTGCTGCAGTTTGCTCTGGGAGCAGCATCAGTGCAGTACGACGAGGACAGAAAGTTAATGAACAAACATCATTTACAGAGAAGCTGTGATGAGGAAAACATGTTCAGGACAAACTCAGACATCAGTTACAAACATGGAAACTGTAATTGAACTTTTTGCACCACCTCTCTTTGAAATGACCCACTGCACCATTTAGCAGTAAACAACAATATGTCATTTGGAAGCTTTTTGTTTACACCATTTTCTCCCCTGTGTGCTCCACTGTGCAGCCCACAGAGATATGTAGCGTCATGGATGTCCTGTTTGTGACCTAAAGGTCATGATCTGCTGCGTCTGCTCGAGCAGAGACATAAAGTCTCTGACAGTCTAATCTACATGAGATAGTGGCCAAGGTCTTTCATGCACTCTGCTCATCTGAACTGCTTCACCTCTGTTACAGCTCAAGACGAAGACGAAGAACTTTTGATAAACACATAATCAACAACTTTGTTGTTACCAATAATGATGTGAGCCAAATGTTCAATCAGTCTGTGAAATGACAATGTTATTACTTGATCAGTAGTTTTTTTACAAGTTATTATAATCCTGGACATTTGCACTAGACACTAAAGACACGTAATGCTAAAGTCACACGACACATTTCCTTTTGTCTGACCCAATCAGAACCTTTGTTTCTGGCTAGGCGTGTTTATCTGTGGTGTTTGTACAAACCCTCTTTTGCATGTCAAATTCTGATTCGCCAGTAAACCAAAATATGACAATTATTAAAACTATTCCACGCCACCTCAGACAGGCCATCCGGACTTCCTCTTCAGCCTAAAGAACCTCGACAAGCTGGATAAAATCTGTTGCACTTCATACCTGACCGCAACGGTTCCTTCAGAATAATTGCTGAACCTCACGACCCCTTCAGGGTCTCGCTGACGCCAGTGATAACCTGTCGTGACCTGGAAGCATTCCAAGACTAGTTTGGTCGGCACTGCTGCTTTTCTACCGGCTTCGGTACCAAGGAGGGTCCAAGAGGACCTCGACATTCTGGATCTAACGGAGGCTTTCCCTGGGGTACGTAGACCGACAGATGGCGTTTCATGTGTGTTATAAATCTCCTACTAAAGTTTAGAGCGAAACATTCACTCCCACTCAGAAATAACTGCTTCTCCAGATCCACTGGTTCTGATAAGAACATTCCACAAACACACACCATCCTCTCACGTCTCACTCCACCTTAGTCCATCAGTACACAGAGTGTTAAAGTTAGTCTTGTTTAAACTGTAGAAATAAATTTCTTAAATATTTTAAACCTGACTCTCTTTCCTCTGAGTTAATACGAAGTGTCGCTTAATCCCGGCAATAAAAAGTTCTGATCTTCTGGTTAAAATAGTCAAAGATCCATCAGATTGATATTTCATATTTCTATGGAATCTCACATTTATATTTCATAAGTAAGATGTAAACTACCCGTCCTTTACAGATGTATGCAAACGTCTCGTCTCGTCTCGTCTTCCTCCGCTTATCCGGGTCCGGGTCGCGGGGGCAGCATCCCAACTAGGGAGCTCCAGGCCGTCCTCTCCCCGGCCTTGTCCACCAGCTCCTCCGGCAGGACCCCAAGGCGTTCCCGGACCAGATTGGAGATGTAACCTCTCCAACGTGTCCTGGGTCGACCCGGGGGCCTTCTGCCGGCAGGACATGCCCGAAACACCTCCCCGGGGAGGCGTCCAGGAGGCATCCTGACCAGATGCCCAAACCACCTCAACTGGCTCCTTTCGATCCGGAGGAGCAGCGGTTCTACTCCGAGTCCCTCCCGAATGTCCGAGCTCCTCACCCTATCTCTAAGGCTGAGCCCGGCCACCCTACGGAGGAAACTCATTTCGGCCGCTTGTATCCGCGATCTCGTTCTTTCGGTCATTACCCAAAGCTCATGACCATAGGTGAGGATTGGGACGTAGATCGACCGGTAAATCGAGAGCCTGGCTTTCTGGCTCAGCTCCCTCTTCCCCACGACAGATCGGCTCAGCGTCCGCATCACTGCAGACGCCGAACCAATCCGCCTGTCGATCTCCCGATCCCTCCTACCCTCACTCGTGAACAAGACCCCGAGATACTTAAACTCCTCCACTTGAGGTAGGACCTCTCCCCCGACCCGGAGGTGGCAAGCCACCCTTTTCCGGTCGAGAACCATGGTCTCAGATTTGGAGGTGCTGATCCTCATCCCAGCCGCTTCACATTCGGCCGCGAACCTACCCAGCAAGAGCTGAAGGTCAGAGCTGGATGAAGCTAGGAGGACCACATCATCCGCAAAAAGCAGAGACGAGATTCTCCTGCCACCAAACTCGACACACTCCACACCACGGCTGCGTCTAGAAATTCTGTCCATAAAAGTGATGAACAGAACCGGTGACAAAGGGCAGCCCTGGCGGAGTCCAACCCTCACTGGGAACAGGTCCGACTTACTACCGGCTATGCGGACCAAACTCACGCTCCTCTGGTAAAGGGACTGAATGGCCCTTAACAGAAAGCCACCCACCCCATACTCCTGGAGCGTCCCCCACAGGGTGCCCCTGGGGACACGGTCATAAGCCTTCTCCAAATCCACAAAACACATGTGGATTGGTTGGGCAAACTCCCATGCCCCCTCCATCACCCTTGCAAGGGTATAGAGCTGGTCCACAGTTCCACGGCCAGGACGAAAACCACATTGCTCCTCCTCTATCTGAGATTCAACTATCGATCGGACCCTTTTCTTTAAACCTTCACAGCAGCTGGTTTAAAAGGTTATCAGAAAGAATGGGTGAAAATAAACCGTTCACACGTCTGGCTCTCACGTGCAGGAACCTGAGCTTCCTTCCTTTAATGCAGATGCCAAGTAGGAACATAACATCCAAGTAAATAGCAGGATGTGGGTGTTTCCTGCAGAGCATTGTGCTGCAATGAGCCAGGGCTGTAACTGCTTCACCCTTAGAGGCATACATGACATCTGTGGAGCCTTAGGCCCAGATAGATGTTAGATGTGTGAATTTATGATGTAATTGTTTCAAACTGAGGTTAATGCAGTGTGGGGCTGAACGATTTTAGGAAAAGATTGGATTGCAATTTTTCTAGCAGAAATTGCGATTTTGGTTCACTTCAACGATTTTCTGCAAACAAAGGTCCAACAGTAGCCTGCCAAGCCATCCTGTAGATGAAGTGAAAAGATGGTCTAGGTTCTAATCTAGCACAACAAATCATTCACATTAACATTCACTATTTAATCATACAATAAAAACAGTTAAAGCTATTCATATTCTCTCCCATTATACGCTGATGAAGCGTAAACCAAGCTTTAGAAGTCAGCCTGAACCTGCTGATGTGGGAGGAGTCTCTCTCTCCCTTACTCAACTACGTTCCCTCTCTTTCTCTGTCCCGGGCTCACCTACGGTGCATTATTATCGGCTCTAGCAGCGCTGTGTGTGGGAACATAAGACAGGGAAAAGAACCTGAACATGCAGCTATGACAGCTGTGGAGTTGGGCTCGGCTCTGGATGGTAAACACCACCCCCTCCCCCGCGCTGGCTTTTGCCGCCGCCATAACATAGGGGGAAACCCTTGGATGTAAAAAAAAAAAGTTACACAACTGAACCTGGATCAGTCGAAACCGCTAAAACCGCAGCTTTGACGGTCACGTGATCGTGCTGTTTGAAATCGCAGTTCAGCCCTAATGTAGTGTTTGCTGCACTGACCGACCTCCATCTGTAGGTGGATCCAGCTGAGTACTGCTGGGACATTGGTGTAAACTCCTGGCTTGTTCCTCAGAGCACACCCTTCTCCCCAGCTAGTCACCCCGACAAGCTTCCACTCAGAAGACCGTTCACAGGCTAGAGGACCTCCACTGTCCCCCTGAGGAAGCAAATACAGGAATCAAATGTAAAAAGACTAGAAGGAAACCTGCATCAGTGACAGAGAACATCACAGCACGGTTCGATGAGAGAAACATCTGCTCTTCTCATTCCAGTGTTATGGAGGATGAGTAGGTTCTGTTAGATGCTAATGCAGACAGGATGTCCCTCTGCCTAGGTCTGGTTGAACTGCCGGCTCTCGACTACAGGAACTCCGAACACCACTAGCAGCAAGGTGGGTTAAGTGTCTCGCCCAAGGACACAACAGCAGCATCGGAGCCGGGATCGAACCTGCAACCTTCTGACTACAACCCACTCTACCTCCTGAGCTCTGGAGGTAGCTACTGTAGGGAGAAGGGATGAGTGTGACATAAGTAGAGTGCTCACAGATGAAGCTGCTAGAGGGTCTAGAGCAGTTAACACATGTAGAAGAAGGTGTTGAATAATCAGAGGTTTACCTGACAGGCATCAACTCCTCCTTCCAGGTAACCTGCACAGATCATCCTGGAGGTGAGTCTACCTCTATAAACATCTGGCTGGTTGCAGGTCTTGGCTGAGATGAGGGGTACCATGGCTGAGCGCAGAACAACACTGCTCTCACCTGACCAGAAAACAGAAACGGTCCAAAGTTTAGACTTAATAGGGTGTTTGTGTCGTGAGATGGTGTTCCACTTGGTGCACGCAGGTGCTGCGCTGGCTGTCTGATTGAGGGGCGAGGCAGATGGAATAAAGGGAGATGGATTGCTGTCTCTGTCCCTCTGTGCCAGTGTGTGTGAGGAGATCTACTCGTTGGGATCCGTTGTGCTGGGCTAGGTTTGCTGGCTGCAGTTGGGAATGCTGGGACTGCGCGGTTTCCGCCTGTCTACCTGCGGGTCTGCTCCCCTCGGTCGGCAGTACAGAAAACCTCCAGCACGTCGAGTCATGGTGCATTGGACACAGCTGTTGTTTCTTCCAGCCTGGTTTCGTCCACCCGAGTTGATTGGGTAACCAGGTTTTATGTGGTGGCTGGCCATTGGCTTATTGTTGTTGTGGTGTTCATTTAGTTCACAATTGCATGAGTTCTTTTATTTATTTTTTTTAGGTCAGTGGTTGTTTCCCCAGCTTTACTCCTTTATTCCCTGAGTAGACTGGCGTTTGCACGCATACTCTGAGTCCTGGCGTTTTTAAAGACGTACTTGATTTAAACTAAGTTGTTAAATAAAGCTGCCTATTTTTTCAAAAGCCATCAGTGGCCCGATGCATCCTTGAACCTTTGTACTTTTGCTTAGTTCTGCTAAAAGGACACAAACAACAACAACAACAAAAAAGATGTCTCTAGCATCTGTGCCTATGAAGCACCTCCTGCTGATTGGTTATCAGTCACAGGAGTTTAGTCTTCATTCTGATGATATCTTGGTTTTTCTTCAAAATCCACTGACATGCGTCCCTGAGACACTGTCTGGAGATAAACAAGTTCCCTTCCAGCGTCGAGGAATCAAAGGCCCTTCCAATTACCCCATACATTCTGATTAATTGAACTATTCTGATAGCTTAGAAATCTAGACCAACCATTGCAAGAGGTCTAGCCACACCCTACAGCAGGTATACCACTGGCCTGAACAGTTTTAGGCCCGACCAATCACATCACTTTATGTTTGTAGAGAGACGTTGGGTGGGCTTAGCACCAGAGCTATGATGAAGACAAACAACAAAATGACTCATAACACCAATTTACAGCAAATCTACTATTAAGTTCTCAACCACAAAGGGAAAAGGAAGTTACTGGAGAGGATGAGATGTTGCAACATCGTGACAGAGGTGTGACCAAGTCACTGCTTTGCAAGTCACAAGTAAGTCATGTCTTTCCAGTCAAGTCTAGAGTCAAGTCCAAGTCAAAGACAACCAAGTCCAAGTCGAGTCCAAAGTCAATGATGTGGAAGTCCAAGTCAAGTCCAAGTTCTTAACTTTAAATTTTCAAGTCATAATCAAGTCGTTTGTCCAACTTCAATTTAATGAAAATATTAATAAATAAATTCCAGAAAAAAGCTTCTTAAAGCTTCATTTACTGTATTTGCTCAAACAAGTGGTGTTGGTGGTTGGGCGGGCAGGGGAAACCTGGTCCACATCGTGCTACAGCGGGCTTCTGGCTAGTGGATTAGAATATTGGAGGTCTTGGGCTGTCTACGACTTCAATGGTTGGTCTAGTGTCACGTGGAGAGCTCCACCAGTCTGTCCCTTTGGGTTCACCCTCCCACACCCCCGCTCCACCCTAACCCACACTCAGACAGATGCACAACATTGGCTACAATACACAATTCTGTTTCTCTTCACTCCACCCCATTTTCTTTCTCTCTGTTTGATTTTAAGATTTGTCTTTTTTCTGTCTCTGTCTGACCTTGCCCACTCGCTCGCCCAAGTCTTACAACAAATATGAAAACGTTAACTACGTAACAGGAGGAGCATCTCACATCAGCACATCTGCTGTGACTCAGAGCCATCATTCTATCTGCCTACATTGTCACAACAGAACAGGTTAGAAACTCTGTAGATGTATGAAGTCTAAAGGGCAACGCTCTGCTGTTTTTCTGTAAAATGTACATAAACACAAAAGTACTAATTAGTATTTATGACTTTTGTTTATATATGTTTTTCTTTTATGAGTCATTTTATCTGTAATGCCTTTTGTATTAGGAAATTAAAATATCTTAATTCCCTGAAGGTAAGGGGCAAAAGTGCTTATTTGCATCATTTGAGCAGAGCACTTCGTGGGACAAACAATCAACAACTGAGAAATAAAATGTGAAGTTAACTGAGGCCCAGAGAAGATGAATACTTGAATGTAATCCTCATCATGAGGCAGGAACCGGGAACTGTGAAGAATGATGACGCAACTTCACCATCAGGAAAGCATCAGAGTACTTTATAACAACTATCCTTTATTATATGTGTAGTTTTTTTATACATCAGTTGTAATGTCTTCACCTTTGTTTAAACATTACTAATTATAGCAGTGACTCTGAAGTCAGACTGAAGTGAGGTTTTTTTTCGACATTCAGACTCACCTTCAAACTCTGTTGCTCCCCACCCAGAGATCCAACACATAGTACCATCTGCAAACTCCTCTCCATGGTTGGGCAGGCAGATGGGTTTCACAAAGTCTACAGAGGACACATAACCCACTTCAAAAACTCTGTTTATACTGTTACGTAATAAAACCTGAATCCCGCTAGTCAGTGACTCGATGCAACCTGCTGGGCTCAGGGCCAGATTAACACTTTATTGTACCCTGGGCAACAATATCAAAGGGCCCCATCATCACGACCCAAGGATCACCATAATATGGTCACATACAGAATATTTTACTGTAATATGTAGTAAATATACTCAATACTTGAATGCCTGACATCACCTAACCCACTCAGGGTAACCTTTGACCCACCTCGTGTAGACTGACCAATGAGGAGAGGGTCTTAACTTGAGGCCCTCTCATCATTGGTCAGTCTGCATGAGACTGACTCTCAACTGACGTTCAAAGTCATTGGCAGCGAAGCGTCTCTGTGCAGCTCAAAAGCCCGGGTGGACAGTTTGTTTAATACAGGGTGACCATATTTCTATTTCCAAAAAAGAGGACAGGGGATCTGTGCCTATGACGTCACACTATGGCAACGCCACACAAACCACGTTGGGACCCATTTTTTTGTAAGAACTAAATTAATACATTTTGCCGTGGCCCCTAAAATGTCTTGAAACGGCCCTGGGTGTGTGACTGAGTTTTGAACGTGATCTGAATTATATCAAACGTATAAATATTACATGTGTATGACTTATTGTTTTATACAGGTAAAAACGTGCAGCTAGTGGAGATAAATCTACCGACATTTTACTTTTCAACACTTTGTTTTGTTTTCTTGTTTTTATTTAACTATTTCCTGTCTTTCTCTCATCTTCCTGAATCTCCTCTAACCTCTCCAGAAAAACTGCTGCCTGGATTCTTACTTTTTCACCTCATCAGTTACTTTTGAGCAGATCAAAGGGATCTCCTGACCGCAAAGCGGAGAGCGCGTTTTCGATGCTGCGTCAGTGAGGTGAAATCACCGCAGCACAGGTGATGAGCTCCGCAGTGGCAGAGCGCTTCAGGCACAAATAAGACAGAAAGTAGAGAACATGTGCGGACATGAACGACCGTGTGTTAATTATAGTTTTTTGGTTGCACCACTTTGAGAATGGACCGTGCGCTGGACACAGCAGCCTGGAGTGCTGCGCACCAACGATCATCGCTCTGCCGCTCTCTGTGCTCTCTGCTCAAACGAGTCCATAAATGATGTAATATAGGTAGAAAACGTTTTTTCCAGCTCTCCCTGGATGTGTAGGATATCCAGCTCCCCCATAATTCGATCCCTGCTCCTGGATGAAAAACCAGACATTTTCATCAATACAAGAGCCCTCCCGGAGGCCCCGGACAGAGAGTGAAAAGTGGACATGTCCAGGGAAAAGAGGATGTATGGTCACCCTAGTTTACTATAAAGCGGGAGATTACAGATACAGTATTTTGCTCGTGCCCTTGCTGCCCTGGGCCTGGGCCCTTTAGAGTTCGTGGACCCCTGGGCAATTGCCCAGTTGCCCATATGGTTAATCCAGCCTTGACTGGGTTCCTTATATAGGAAACTTTTTACTGATTGGCTTAATGAACTGGCCTGAATTGGAATGTTTACTGTGTGAAGGTCTTTGAGACAACTCTTGTCGTGATTTGGCGCTTTATAAATAAACTTGAATTGAATAGATGCTCTCAACTGAAATGGAAACAAGGTCAATAATATTAGCTTCACTCCCTATAGTGTCCAAGAAATACCAACGTACAAAATACAAAATATAAATTTAGTGACGCAGCTATGAAAATGTCAAACAATAATCAAACGTGTGAACTCAATCTTCACAAAAGGTTAAAATAATCCCTGGCTTTTGGAACCAAGATGGCACCAAAGGAGTAAGACACGCAGATGGTTCTCAGTGTTTTTTTTATGTTTGAAAGTGTTTTTTTTTTGTTGTTTTTTTTTAATAATACTTGACTTGGACTTCCTAGACGTGCCTGAGCCTTGGCTTTCCTTGTGTGAGTCTACTGTGAAGTTCTGCCACCTGGCTGCTTGAACAGAAAGCTAAGGAGTGCTGAAGCAGGTGCAGTTGAACTAGGTCCTTCTCCGCCTTTGATGTGTGCTCTGATCTATTGTCCTAAGTATAACGAGGACCTTATAGATGAGCTTGCTGTTGTTTTGGTTGAGGTCTCTTGTGGACATGACTGCGTCCTCCTTATGAGGGACTTTAATGTCCACACATGGAGCCCTGACAGAACTATGGTGAAGGACCTTTTAGATCTGGTGGAATCTTTGAACCTGTCTCAGCTTGTGAATGAACCCACACATGAGCACACGAACATACTGAATCTCGTCCTCTCTTATGAGCTGAGAATTATTGACTTGGATATCTGGTGAGCCTGATTTTTGGATCATCTGCCAGTTGTGTTGAACTTGCTTTGTACCCCCTCAATAACTGTCTCTGCACACTCTTTTGTATCATTTTGCTACTCCTGCAGATTTCTCTTCTGCTCTTTTTGATTTGAATTCTGCCTCTTGTGTGCCCTTGGAAGGTTTTTGTATAAAACTCTAAATTCTGTGCTTTCACCTGCTATTTTCCCTCTGTGTCTACCAACCTCTATACCAAATTCTTAATTTATTTTCAGACAAGTTTAAAAATATTAGCTACCACCTTTCTCCTCTGATGCTCCTATTCTTGCCTATCCTTCTCTCTGGAGCCTCAACTATTTTGAGCCACTCTTGAAAAACTGGTTGTCACAAATGGCTCCCCAGAAAATGTTGTACCACCTCATCTCCTGAAAGCCACTTTCCCAGCAGTTGGCCTGCTTGTGCTGAATATTATTAATAACAGCATGATGATGGCTGTAGTTCCCCTAGCCTTCAACAACCTGTTGGACAGCCAATTCAGAATTATCCTGGTGTGGAGGATTTTTATCCCTTCAAATCTCAGACTCCTCTCTAAATTGCCATTCTTGTCTACATTGCTGGAAAAACTAGTATAGAGCTCCGGACCCCACGTGACTCTCAGTTAGTAGACGCCATATTGGCAGGTAAAAGAAGCGAAACAAACACGAATCGTAACCATGAACGTGAACAGGATCGGCTTGGATTTTACTTTGGAGTTTACTTCACACTTTAAAACCGAAGAAATCGTTTTATATAGTCAGAAATTAAATAGACTAAACATCTCCGACCCTTACCGTGCCCCTGGGATACTTTTTAAAAACGCCAGAAGCTGTCGGAGCGGACTTCTTACTGGACCTGGCGGGGGAACCCCTTGGGATTTACCCGGAGGAGCTGGCTCAGGTGGCTGGGAAGAGGGAAGTCTGGGCCTCTCGACACTACTGCTCCCGCAACCCGACTCCGGATACGCGGATGAAAATGGATGGACAAATAACAGATTTACACGCAAGTAGTTTAAATAGAGTGCTGTGCTGTTTAAATGTATAAACTGAACGCCAAGAGAAATCACTATTCTGATTTTTTTCCGTGAATAAAATAAATATGTCAGGCAGGAGCGTCTCAGGATCTGTCTGAGATCTGTCTCGGTGAGACAGATAATAGCAATCCAAAGTGCTTTTTATGTGTGATCTGACAATTGATCAACTATTGCTTAAAAATTAAATACAGCTTAGCCGGTTAATTGCTGTGATCATAAAACACAGAAACTGCAGCACGCAGAAATCACGAGGCAACGTTTTATGTGACGTTTACTTGTTGCTATGAGTAATAAGACAGAAAAAGCCACGCCAAAATAAGTTTAGGAAGCCCACTAAGGATCGTAATAAAAGCATTTAAAATAAATACCATACACAGTTGAGGAAATGTTGGTTTAAGTACCTGATATGAAGCGGTCGCTGCATAAGCGAAAACCTTTACTCTCGGGATCCCACAGCTTCATTTTAGCCCGGTCACTAGTGCGTTTTATTACAATGATCCAACGTTTGCGGCGCTCCGGATCTTTGGGAATCCTGTAGATGGCTCATTCCTTATGTCATCCGTGTCTGTTCTGCATCCTGGGGCACAACAGGAATCTTCCATATTTCCCGTTTGATTGAGTTTTCTGACAATAATAAATAGTCCAGCTGCCGGCTTCTACCTGCCAATATGGCGCCGTTTCGATTTGAACTGTTGCATACCGGGAGAAGTGACGTCAACTCCCGGAGCTCTATATGAACAGTTAATAATACATCAAGCTAATGGACATTTTAAAATCTGGTTTTAGATGACAGCATATTCACTCATTCAGGTGTGTTTAATTACATTATTGTGGCTTCTCACTCAGGATTTGACATGGTCTTGGTACCGTTTGACCTATCTGTGGCTTTCTACACCGTAGATCCTAACATTTTGATCCATAGACAGAAGCAGTTGGCCGGTTTTACAAGTTTAGCCTTGGACTGGTTTTGGTCTTATTTCTCAGACAGAAGCCTCAGGCAGGGCAACAGTTCTTAGTTGGTCCCTCCCATGTGGGGGTGCCTCAGTGTTGGACTGTTACTTTTCCCTCTATTAATTTATTTATTAAATGCCATTTTCAAAAAGTATGCTAGCTTTTACCATCCGTATGCAGGTGATTGCCAAATTTACTTTTCTTCATTTAGACCGTCAAACTTTAATTTGAGTGTCTTCTGCACTCTTAGACAAAAGTCATGTTTTTTTAGTATTGGTAATGCTGGGGATTTGCTGTCCACTGACCACCATTCCTTTGTATCTTATGCTACTTCAATCATTTTTAATTTAGGAGTAAAAAATGAACCTGAAGAGGAAAGCTCCGGTAAATGCGACAGTCTGTCTTTTATGAGCAGTTCTTTGGTCGCTCAATTAAAGGCTGTTCAGAGTGAATCAGTCATTCATGGATTTAGAACATCCCTTCTAGACTTCTGATTTTATCAAATCAAATCAAATCAACTTTATTTATAGAGCGCTTTCACATGGCCAGAATGGACAAACAAAGCGCTGTACATCAATAAAATGCCACACAATAGGACAGAGATATGACCATTAAAATACATTAATAAATCCATTAAAATACACTAAAAAATCCCTGTAAAATACCGTAATAAATCCTATAAAAATACAATAAAAAATCCATTTTAAAATACAGTACAAAAACCTGAGTGCCAGTTCACAGTCCATATCCGGCCTACTTCCCCCAACTTCAACGTCCAAAAGCCAGCGAGAACAGATGTGTTTTCAGTCTTCCTTTAAAGGTTTCTAATGACTTGGCCTGTTTTACATCGGCTGGCAGCTCGTTCCAGAGACTTGGTCCAAGTACTGAAAAAGCTCGACTACCACGAGACTTCAGGCTGTACCTAGGCACAGTTAGTAATCTCTGGTCAGCTGACCTAAGGGAACGCACCGGGACATGCTGGTGGATGACATCGGAAAGATATTTAGGAGCCCCTGTGTTTAACGCCTTGAACACAAACATGAGGACCTTAAACCTGATGCGATAAAAAACAGGGAGCCAATGCAAGGCACGTAGGACTGGTGTTATATGTTCAGACCTCCTGGTAGATGTTAACAACCGGGCTGCAGAGTTCTGATTTTATGGCATTATCACAGCTTCCCTGTTTAGACTACAGCTTGTTCAAAATGTCTCATATTAATTTATAACATATCTATGAGCCAAAGACAGGATAGAGAAAAAAAGTATCACTTAAAAATGTACCATTATTGGTGAACACAAGTGATGTAGCCAGTTTCATCAATGCAATATCATAATCTGGTATTCTGTTGTTTTGGTGTTGACCATGGGAAATGACGGTCTTCACAGCTATAGCCTTGGCCCCGTTGATCGGCAGCTCTGTAAGCCCCACAAAGACTGTCCACTGGGATAGATCGTATCTAGTCACAAATAAAAGGAGAAAAAGCACATTTAAGGACCGTGTGTATGCGAGAATCTTTGGCACACACTCTGATCTAAATGTCAATACAAATAAAAACATCATCTTCCCCTACAAACGCTAGAAAATTTGATTGTGTTAACTTTCTGGACTCTGGACATACAAACTAAAACTACTTGATGAGATGTGCTTTATCTGAGCCCAGGAACAGCCTCAGAGATCTCTGACCAGACAACCACTGTTGTAGGGAAATATTAGATACTGAGACACAACTTTATAGTACGTCTCTGCTTGAGGAATGGAGCTCTTGTGTCTTTGATAGAGGGCCAGAGCTCAAAGTAAGCATGCAACTTTAATAAAATGAAGAAAAAAGCAGGAAAATAATAGGAAAGGTTTATTTGTACAGAGCCTTTGGCGATAAAAATCACAGTGCTTTAAAGGCACAATAAGAAATTTACAGACGCAGACAAAATGGCCTCTACCCTTTGGTCAATGAAAGAAAAACCCAAAATGTTAGCAGAAATAAGCTGAATCTGACAAAAGTAATAATTAATAAAAATTCTACGAAATTTAACCAATGAAAGTCAGACATTGCTTTTCAACAGAATTATTTAAAAAATGAACCCATGGGACAGGCTGGACAAAAATGATGGTATCCCTAACTTAATATTTTGTTGCAAAACATTTTGAGACAATCACTGCAAGCAAATGATTCCTGCAACTCTGAGTAAGACTTCTCCACTTCTCAGCAGGTATTTTGGCCCACTCCTCATGAGCAAACTGCTCCAGTTGTCTCAGGTTTGAAGGACGTCTTTTCCAGACAGCATGTTTCAGCTCCATCTAAAGATGCTCAATAGGATTGAGGTAAGGGCTCATAGAAGGCCACTTTAGAAAAGTCCGATGTTTTCCTCTTAGCCATTCTTGCGTGTTTGTACCTGTGTGTTTTGGTCATTGTCCTGTTGCAAGTCCCATGACCTCACAGAGTTAATTTTCACAGTTATGCAGATGATACACAGTTGTACATCTCTGTGTCTCCAGATGACGCACAACCATTGGATGCCCTTTTTAATTGCATTTCGGATATTGAATCCTGGATGGCAGAAAACTTTCTCCAGCTTAAACGGGACAAAACCGAAGTTTATTATTATTATTATTATTATTATGTTTAATTAGTTAGCAGACGCTTTTATCCAAAGCGACTTACAATTAATAACCTATAGGGCATGTTGTGATCTGTGGGGGAAACCGGAGTACCCGGAGGAAACCCACGCATGCATGGGGAGAACACGCAACTCCACGCAGAAAGGTCGCAGCCGAGTTTCAAACCTGTGACCTTCGTGCTGCGAGGCAACAGAGCTAACCACTGCGCCACCATGCAGCCAAAGTTTTAGTCATCTGTCCTGAGACCCAAAGAGAAAGTTTAACCGAAACTACAGTCACTAGATTTTAATCCGTCTTCTCAAATGAAGAACCTGGGCGTGATTTTTGACTCTGAGCTAACTTTTACCCCCCACATTAAGAATACGACAAAAACAGGTTTTAATTACCTGAAAAATATTGCCAGAGTCTGCCCCTTTCTCTCTCTGGCCGATACAGAGGAGCTGATGCACGCTTTTATCACCAAAAGAATACTGTAGGATTAAACTACTTACTAGAATCAACACTGTTGCTATTCAGTTGTAGATTCTGAAAATGACCAAGCAGATTAACCTATGAGACTTATATCGTGTATAAATATCCCGGATACCTATATAATCGATCCAAGTTCATGGCCCAACCTGTTTGGTCCATTTTTAATCCAAAGATTAATGTTTAATTTAAGGTAATTAAATTTAATAGCAAAAGTTTATTTTTGAATCAGAAGCTAGGAATCTTTGCTTTTCAATAACCAGAAATAATTATACCTTTTCTGTGTTTCATTTCAAAGAATGAGGCAAGTTTAAAAATGAAGAATTTTATTACTAACAATTTTTAAACTTTACGATTTGAACGACAATTAGAAATGACAATTCATGGGTGACAATTTTTAACAGCTTTGATATTAAACTTGTTTTAAAAGGCAAACCTGTGGCTGGATGAAAGCTAAATTGGAAATACGAGTTTGGATGCGTGAATGGATTTCTCAGAAGGTTTCTTTCAGAGAGAGGAAAGTGTTCTGGGTTGGAAATGATGTTTTGCAGCTACCTGAGTTGTTTACTTAGAGAAATGAGCACCAAACATCATCTTGTCGAAAGTGTCTACCTCACCCAGTTTCAGGAGACCCCCTTTTGGATCCGAGATGTCAAGTGGAGATGATTTCCTCCGGGCACGAGGCTGGTAGAAGGACCTTGATGCGACCAAATCAGTCCTGGGTTGTCTCCGTGGGTCACACGACTGATGAAACTATTGGCGTCTCAAAGTCCGTAACTCTGAAGGAGTTTTGCATCTTAACTTAACTCAGAAATCAATAACTTCTGGAAGGAGTTTTTCATCAGCTAGGTACAGTTTACGTTTATTCTTAGCTATTCTTGTCGGCGTGACAGAACAGCTTGGCAGAGGATCAGGGACGGCCGTCCCGTTTCCTCAGGATGGTGTTGGTTCAAGAACTGACGTGAAAGCTGGTGGAGGTTAGTTTACAAAGTCCTCAGAACACACACCCTCTCAGCAAGAAAGCTTTGGTCATGCGTCAAAAACGTGTGTTGGCAGTTATTGTTTACTCTGGATGAACTCTGTGTTAGATGGATAAGACGGAACTGACCTTCTGGTTTGCTGAGCACACATTACTGTCATCAACCATAATCATAATTATAGTAATCATTATTATACCCAAAGCATAATAATTCATTTCATGTAATTAAAATACCTTTATACTGAACCAAGTGATTATTTATGATGATTATAATAAATAGTAATAAAGTCAAAGAGTTTATTAATATTATTATTTAATTATTATCGTGAACTTGAAGTGTCCTTCTTCTGGGACAGAACAGCAGCAGATAATGGTGATATTCAGCAGACATCATGACTCCTGGGTTAATCTGTGGACTTAAAAGTTAATGGCTGACCCAGCTTGACCCAGCAGTGTAAATGTGACCTTTGCCACAAATTAGAGAACCTTGATGATGCTACAATACTGTGCTTTCTGGTCTTCCCAAAAAGAGTACCTCAGGTTTACAACTACTACAAAATTCAGCAGCTTGTGTCCTAACGAAGACCAGGAGGTGGGAGCACATTACACCTGTCTTAAACAAGCTGCGTTGGCTTCCCGTACGTTTCAGGATCGATTTTAAGGTTCTTTTAATGGTTTTTAAATGTCTTAATGGTCTTGGGCCTTCTTGTCTCTCAGAACTACTACATAAATACGAGCCTTCGCGTTCACTACGCTCCTCTGGCAGCCGTCTCCTCGTCATACCAAGAGTCAGGACACACTCCCAAGGCGAGGCATCCTTCCAGTTTTAGGCCCTCACCTTTGGAATGGTCTGCCAGAGGACCGCAGGGCTGTCTGACACATATTTACTTGTATAGTAATTTTTACTTGTTTTAACCAGTATTAATTATCTGTATTACAATATGTTTATGTATTTAATAGTATGTTTCTACTTGGTCATCTTTTATCAGTGTGTTTTATTTAGATTTTTATTTATCAGGTGCTTATGTTTAATTTGATTCTTAACTTATCTTAATTTTATTCGGTTTTACCAGCTATTGGCTGTCACTGCCTCAGTGCTTCTCATGCCTCCTCTTGGTGCTATGCGGTAAATTGTAAAGTGCTTTGAGCTGCACTTGTTGTATGAAAAGCGCTTCATGAATACATTTGATTTGATTTGACCTGCAACTGAAACCAAGCTTGCAGCACTGGCCAACACATTTCTCTCTGGAATCCCTTGATAAACTTAAGATTTCATTGTACCCTGCACAAATTCAAGACACCCAGTGCCAGATGCAGCAAAGCAGCCCAGAACATAACAGAGCCTCCTCCATGTTTCACAGTAGAGACAGTGTTCTTTTCTTGATAATTCAATTCAATTCAATTCAATTCAATTTTATTTATATAGCGCCAAATCACGACAAGCCTCGTCTCAAGGCACTTCACATAGTAAACATTCCAATCCAGGTCGGTTAATTACGCCAATCAGAAAAAATGTTTCCTATATAAGGAACCCAGCAAATCCAGTCTTGATGTAATAAATGCATGAACTAGTGCCACGTCCATGGAGGTTGGCTACTGTCCTGTGGATCTGAAATCTCTGTATATGTGCAGCTGTAGTCACAGGAACCTCTAGCTGCTTGGAGATGGTCTTACAGCCTTTACCTTTAACATGCTTGTCTATAATTATCTTTCTAATCTCCTGAGACGACTCTTTCCTTCACTTCCTCTGTTCCATGTTGAGGGTGGTACACACCATGTCACCAATCAACACAGTGGCTACCTCTAGTCCTATATAAAGGCCCACTGACTGATACAAGGTTGTAAACACCTGTGATGCTAATAAGTGGACACACATGTCCCTTTAGTCACATTATCTCAGTCTTTTCTAGGGATATCATCATTTATGTCCAAGCCTGTTCCATGAGTTCATTTTTATAAATAACTCACTTGAATCATGGTTGAAAAGCAATATCTGACTTTCACTGGTTAAGTTCCACAGATTTTTTATTTATTATTACTTTTGTCAGATTCAAGTTATTTATGTGACCATTTAAAGTTTTTCTTTCATTGACTAAAGGGGTACCAGCTATTTTGTCCACATCTGTAAAATTAAAAATGAGAAAACAAGGAAGCCTGAAAATATACAGAATTGGTAGAAACAACGGCAAATTGAGAAGAGAAGAACTGGATGAACAGAAGGTCACACCAAAGCCTGAACAGGTGAGTCTTCAGCTGCTTTTTAAAGGAGACCACTGAGTCCACTGATCTCAGGCTCAGGGGGAGAGAGTTCCAGAGTCTGGGGGCCACAGCAGCAGATGATCTGTCACCGTTGACCTTTAGCCTGGTGCTGCACAACCAGTAGGCTTTGATCACTGGACCTCAGGGACCTGCTGGGGGTGTAGGGACTAAGAAGATCACCAATGTAAGATGGTGCTTGTCCATGTAAGGCCCTATAGACCAGAACCAGGATCTTGAAATGAGCCCTGAAGTTGACTGGCAGCCAGTGAAGCTGGAGGAGAAGCGGGGTGATGTGGGTGTGTTTGGAGGACTTGGTCAGAAGCCGAGCACAGGCATTCTGAACCACCTGTAGACGGTTCAGGGAGGTTCTGCTCAGACACGTGAAAAGAGAGTTACAGTAGTCTAAGCATGAGGAGATGAAGGTGTGGATAACTGTCTCAAGTTAAGAGCGGGACAGAATGGGACTCAGCTTAGCAATGTTCCTGAGATGGAAGAAGGAAGAGCGCACAAGAGAACTGACACAAGAATCCAGGGTGAGAGCTGGGTCAAAGGTCCCACCAAGATTCCTAACAGAAGGTTTGGTGTGAGAAGCAAGCTGACCAAGAGAGTCTCTGACTTTGGGAACCAGCTTGTTTGGGGCACAGATGAGGATCTCAGTCTTATCTTCATTCAGCTGAAGAAAAGTGGCTGCTGACTGAGCCAGGATCCTCTGCAGGTTTCTTCTTGTTAAAAGGGAGTTTTCCTCTCCACTGTCACTGCATGCTTGCTTAGTATGTGGATTGCTGTAAAGACTCTGACACTAGTCAGTGACTCAATGCAACCTGCTGAGTTCCTTCTTTTTCTAATAGGCTCAATAAACTGAACTCAGTTGGAATGTTTACTTTGAGAAGTGCCTTGAGACAACTGTTGTCATGAGTTGGTGCTATATAAATAAACCGAAATGAATTAAATTGTAAAGTCTCTAAGGTGTACTGACTTTCAACTGTTAGTGTAATCTATTACATAGCACAAATAAGCTTAAAGAAATCTGTTTTGAACTAACATGATTTAATTATGACTCACCCCCACACACAGTGTGCTGCGGTGACGATCCAGTTAGGTGCGATGATGGAGCCGCCACAGATGTGTTCGTTGTTGAGGTGGAGACTGACCTGCCAGGGAAACTGACCTGGTTTGGACATATTACCTCCAACAATGCGAGTGCTGGACAGAGGCCTGGAGCCACACTCTAGAACAGACAGATGGTAAATCTTACTGTGAGTCATCAGGTTTGGGACAGTTATTAACACCACTTTGAGAAAAGAAAGATAGAAGAGTTAATTGCTTTACAACATCATTAGTTATAACAATTGCATAACGTAACCATGGCGTGGCATTAGAATTTTTTCCTAGCCTTCAAAAACATGCAGCTAATCACTTCTATTGATCTAAATGTGCACAGCTATATAACACGCACCCACACTCCATGTGAACTGTGTAACTGCAGACAGTGCTGTGTGTGAAAGTGCACAACACACCATGCAAACAGAACAAACCTCAAGTAAACAACAAACAACAAAAGGGATCAAGGATGGTTTAGCTGCACTGTGTTTTCTCACCAAGACATTTCAGTTTGGTCACCATCCCTGAGCTGCACTGGGGCTTGCTGTGGTGGGAAAAGAAGCAGGAAAATAACACAGCCACTCAGCGTCTGACTGAGGTCTATGCTCCACTAATGTGCGTGCTGCAACCTGCAGGTTTTGTCCCAACGGTCAGAGAGTAATCTGCTGTCAACCTGCTTAATGAAGAAAGATTTTCTGTCCTAAGATAAATTGGTTGATCTACAACTTTCAGCTTGGAGGGGGGTTACATCTGAGAGGAAGACCAGCTCATCCTGGTCCAAAGTATAGTTCTAGAAAAGGGTGGATCATCAACAGGGGCAGCCCTAGCCCATTTTGTTACCTGGGCAAACACACTCTTTTACACCACCCCCCTACACACACACACACACACACACACACACACACACACACACACACACGCACGCACGCACGTACGCACACACACACACACACACACACACACACACACACACTTTATTCACAAAACACAAAGTAAAACAAACATGTAATTTTGCCCAATTTATCAAATATTCAGAATAATGCCTGTATAGCACACATTTTTATGGAGTTACCTATCACATTATCAGTGTTTGGAAGTAATGCATTACTCTGTAGTGTTATTTGTTGTACAACTATAGTTGTAGTTGTTGTATGTTTTAGAGAGTGAACATCTACCGAAACTAAATTCCTTGTAAATGTAATTTTACTTGGCCAATAAATCTGAAATCTGAATCTGAAATCTGAAAAATCTCTGTAACTACCAGAAGTGGGTAGAGTAGCCAAAAAATGTGCTCAAGTAAGGTAATATAATTTTAAAAAATTCAAGGAAAAATTGTTAAATGGAGTTTGGACATCGAGGGACTCGGAGTAGAACTGCTGTTCCTTCACATCAAGATGAGTCAGATGAGGCAGTTCAGTGCTCAAGTGTTTGAGGACATACCTCGCCGGATGCAGAGTTGGCAATCTTGTGGACAAGTAAGTCTTTAAAATAATAAATGCATATGAATAAACAGCATAACATGAGAACAATAATTGTAGCTAGGTGTTTTAGCTCTGATGGCCGGCTAAAGGTGCGCATTCAGGAACAACAGGCGTTGCTTTCTTCCGTGAATATGAAAGTGGTAAGAACAGCTTAAGGTGCAGTACATTTTGTAGCCTCTAGATGATGCAGTCGGATAAAAACTCTGGATTTCTGCCTTAAGAACTAAATATTATGTATTGGAGGGATGAGTGAATGAACTGGTTTCACTACAGCCTCCTGATACCTCTTTAGGCTTACTGACTACTTCTTCATGTTTTTTACAAGTTTCCAAGGACAGGAATTGCAGCATGTCCATTTTTAATGAGGCATTATGCTGCATTCAGAAGGAAACCCTCCATGTTTGTGTAGATCCGTGCCGTGGGGTAAAGCTTCTGATCCTTTGAGATCTGCTGTTTGCGCCGCACCTTTAGCAGGAAAAATGAACCATCTCCTGAGGGCTGCTGATGTTTGCATTTCAGGTAACAGAAAAAAGGAAAGGAAGCTTCTGCTTGACTCTTGCCATCACAAGGGAGGGCAGGTGTCATGAGACCCCCCTGACTGTTTTCTCTAAGTGCAGATGGTTGTCATGTTCTTGCCAAAAGTATCAGTCAAACCATTCCTTTTGCTACAACGTCCCAGACTGATCTCGCAGCTCATGGCTGCACTGCTTCAAACCTTCAAGGCCTCCAACTGCACGACCAGTGCTTCAGTCTTTGTAATAGCCCAGCTAACCAGCCAGCAGCATCCAGACCCTGCTCTACAAAAGTCTGTGAACTTTAGGAGGATGAAACTTTGCCTTACCTTAAAACTGGAGCATTCTGAAGTCTGATGACTTCTGAGCGATTGTAGCTGATGGAAATCAGGCTGGTCTGGAGGTTCCTCTCAACGGAGGTCAGGGGGATGAAGTAAGACTCCACATAACTGCCAGGCAACAACACAGGATATTTTAAACACAGATTTATCACTTTCCTCCCACAGAACAAAAACACGAATAGTGGGTTGGACACCCTGACTTGTCCCTGGGTGTGAGTGAGTGTGTGTCCCTGTGATGGACTGGAGACCTGTCCAGTGAGTCCCGTGCCTCACGCTCGGTGACCAACACACGCTCCCAGTGACGCCACACCAGTGAGGAATAAGTGGTTCATTTAATGAGTAGGTGAGATGTATTACTACAAATTATCAGTGTGAAAAATAAATATTTTTATTGTTGTTTTTGTTGATCGTGGGTGATGGCGTGGGCTGAGCTTGTTCTCTTTGTGACTGTAGCACGGCCGTTATTGGCCATTTGAGTTGAGTTACAACTAAAACTAGTTTTATTTATTAAAGTTTTCACACTTTGCAGGTCAAATGCAGCAGGTCTGTGGGCCAGTTATAGCCCTGGCGGTGTTGCTACACTACTACCAACCCTAACCCTACTGCTAACATCAGGTCCTTTCTTTTGGCACTAGGTCTTCCATGAGCTACTGACCCAGAACTGAACTAAAAGAAACGCAGACAGAAAACATTTGATCACAAAACAAAAAGAGGGTCATGCGAAAAAAAAAAATTAAAGCAATAGAAAGGAAAACAGCAAATACTAGATTGGTACTAGACAGCAAATACTGTGGAGCCAAAGTAGAGACCTGGAATAGCCCATCTGTTTGCAGGCTGAGAGTCCCAGCACGTTGTTCCAGTCTTCTGAACAAACCGTCTTCCATTCTCCTCGTTTTTGGACCTGCAGGACCGACCTGTTGCCACTCAGACGCACTGATATACAACCAGACCAATGACAAAGCAGCAAAAACAGTGATGAGTGAAAATGGTGATGGCTGAATGTGAGGTGTGTAGTGCATCTGTTTCCTTACCCAGCTCCCGATCCATACCTCACCTCGTCCTGATTCAGGTATAAACATCTCTAGCAGATGTCCAGTCAGACCACTAACCTGTCTCTGTTCTGTCCTCTAGTTTATGGCACTAAATAACGTCATTTCTTTTATTGTTATTGCAACGGTTAACTACGATTGACTGCACCCCCACGATAATTCAGGTCTTGACAAACGTACCAGGGGTTCCCTTCGCTAACAATGCCTGGAAAATGTGCCAGGCTTGCAGATGTTTACATCCATGTGGCTTCTTCAAAAATTAAAAAAAACATTGGAACCTAAAAATTTGAATGCAATTCAGTTTATTTGTATAGCATCATCATTAAGTAAGTATTCCAACTGAGCCCACTCATCAGTGCATTGAGCTCACTGTGCCAGTTAGTAAAAAGTTTCCTGTATAAGGAACCCAGCAGGTTGCACCGAGTCACTGACTAGTGTCAGAGTCTTTACAGCAATCCTCATACTAAGCAAGCATTTAGCGACAGTGGAGAGGAAAACTCCTTTTTAACAGGAAGAAACCTCCAGAGGATCCTGGCCCAGTATAAGCAGCCATCCACCACGACCATAGGAGTCCCTTTTACCAGAGAGGCTGGCTCATGTCCTCACCAATATTTCTAGTATTGATGTTTATTTTGTTACCACCATGTTAAAAACACGTCACAATCATTTTTACCAGCATTTGTTATCTACTTCTGGTTTCTGCAGAAGTTCTAGACACTGGTGTGACCGGTATGGTGCGATATGTAACAGTGAAGTAAGAATGACTTCCTGTGCCGCAGCAGCCCGTTTTTATAAACGAAAAGTCACTTTCGGACTTCAACTGGAGTTTAAGACTGTTTACCTGAGACACTGACAGGAAAGCAAGGCTGATCCCTGAGCTGAACCAGGAGCCCACCTCCTCTTGTGTGTGTTGGTTTTGACTTCAGATATAACCCCTGGCTGATAAATACCTGCCTCTCTGGTTTTATGAGGCTGTGTGGGTTTTTTAAGAAAGGTCGTTAGGATTATGAGTGTTAAAACTCCAGTTATAGTTTTCAAAGGACATTTACTCAGTGTTTCGTTAGGAGAAGATTCCTACATGTGGAATTCTGGTGACGTGGGATTTGACTCCTTTTACTATCTGCATTTCTTTGTTTGATTTATTGTGTTTGCTGTCCTTGTTTCTGTAAAGCCCTTTGAATTGTCCGTGTGTTTTAAATGTGCTATGCAAGTAAAGCTGCCCTGCCTTTTGTAGTGGTGCTGGTACTCTGTAGTATAATAAGGAACCCATCTGGTGAATCCTACTTTATGAAAATTAAGCCGTCCTGAGGAAAAGTCTCGGTGTTGTGGGTCCTAGATTCCTCTCTGAAATAAAACTTATGTGGTGCTTCTCCTTTAAGAGGACAATGTGTAGTTTTTATAGTTAATCTCTGGAGATGTCCATCAAAATGTTGTTGAAAATGAGTTAAATGATGCCCAGTTGTTGAAAAATATTGGTGGCTTCTTAACATTTAACCATAAAAATCAGGTCTAAAAGACATGGGAGCGGGTCTAAGTTTCTGGAAAACCTCACCAGGGAGGCGTCCAGGAGGCACCCTAACCAGATGCCCCAGCGACCTCAACCGGCTCCTTTTGACCTGAAGGAGCAGCGGGTCTACTCTGAGTCTCTCCTGGATGACCGAGCTTCTCACCCTATCTCTAAGGGAGAGCCCAGCCACCCTGCAGAGAAAACTCATTTTGGCCGCTTGTATCAACGATCTCGTTCTTTCGGTCACTACCCAAAGCTCATGACCATAGGTGAGGGTAGGAACGTAGATCGACCGGTAAATCAAGAGCTTCGTCTTCTGACCCAGCTCTCTCTTCACCACGACAGACCGGTACAACGCCCGCATGACTGCAGACGCAGCACCAATCCGCCTATCGATCTCACGTTCCAGTTTTCCCTCACTTGTAAACAAGACCCCGAGATACTTAAACTCCTCCGCTTGAGACAGGACCTCATCCCTGACCTGGAGAAGGCATTCTACCCTTTTCCAACTCAAGACCAAACTAGATCATTCATGGTTAATTTTACTATTAGGGCTGCATTTTCAGTACAGTTTTATTGGATATCTGTCCCTATTTTTCCTCTTGGAGGTGGTGCGCTATGGTCCTGCCATGAAACTACAACTATGTTTTTATTTTTATTAATCTGACGGATCACAGACAGCTTGGCTCCGGTGAAGGAATATGGAGTCATGGATCTAAAAACGGAAAACTACATACTATTTTATGAGTATTTTTCTGATTAAACATATGTGTGCTACAGTGAGACGGGTTAGGCATTCATCCTGTAATTGCCCCATTTTCACCTTTTTTTATAGCTCAGATTTTCAACAGCCGCCGTACACTACAGTGCATGTAGTGATGAAACGCCAAACAGACAAATACGTATGGGGTGGGCTGGGTTTCTGCTCGCGGACTCCACCAAATGTGTGTGTATATATGTATATATAATAATTTACGTCATCAATCTTCAAGCCACACTCAAGTTTATGGTCATTGTCCACGAGCTGATGTTCTCTGCAACCACTCACTGGGGTTTTGAGAAGAAAGAGCAGATACACAAAAAATAACCCGATGAAGTAGTAGCAGTACTTTCTACGTTAATGGAGGTGAAAGGTTAAAACAGCAGGAGAGGGAGAATGTCAGTGGTTGTCATGAAATTATCTATTAATCCATGAGATTATTTTAATGGTTAAAATAACAATAAAAGACGAAAAATGGGAAATGCAGCGGGGTTTTTTTGTAGATCAACTTAAATCAAATTTATTTGTATGGCACTTTAAATGCATCAGTGTTGCCCAAAGTGAACATAGACATATAAAAACAGCAAAATCTAAGCAGTCAATTAAAAATAAATACATTAAAAATCAAAACAAAAGAGACAGAAGAAATGGTAAAAAGCAGGACTATTAAGTCAACCAGGAGTACTAAAAGCTGTTGAATATAAATAAGTCTTCAGTAGCTTTTTAAAAATGGCAGCAGATGACGCCTGCCTTAATGGAGATGGGCAACATATTCCACCAAGCAGGTGCAGCCATTGAGAAAGACCTAAAGCCGCTTCTCTGTAGCCTTGCCTTATGACATTCATTCAATGGTAAATGGTAAATGACCTGTATTTGATATAGCGCCTTCTAGAGACCTGGAACCCCTCAAGGCGCTTTACAACACAATCAGTCATTCACCCATTCACACACACATTCACACACTGATGGTGATTAGCTACGACGTAGCCACAGCTGCCCTGGGGCGCACTGACAGAGGCAAGGCTGCCGAGCACAGGCGCCACCGGTCCCTCCGACCACCACCAGCAGGCAACGTGGGTTAAGTGTCTTGCCCAAGGACACAACGACAGCGACAGACTGAGCGGGGCTCGAACCTGCAACCTTCCAATTACGAGGCAAGCGCTTAACTCCTGTGCCCACCGTCGCCCACAAAGCTGGTCAGCCGACCTCAATCCACGAGACGGAACATATGGCACGAGAAGTTTGGATAAATAGCTAGGAGGAAGGCCATTTAGCACATGTAGCACAACTAAAACGACAAAAGTGTTTTTTGAGTAGTGCACTAAAACTCAAGGCCTATATGTGAATAAAGACGTTAGGTCATCTTACCACAACCAAACTCGTCCGCCTGGTTTTTACAGTGCACCTTCCCATCACACACAGCTGAGATGCTGACACACTGGGACGATGAGCCACAGCGATACTTCCCCACACAGCTTAGACCCACTGTAGACGATGATGAGTGTGTGTGTGTGTGTGTGTGTGTGTGTGTGTGTGTGTGTGTGTGTGTGTGTGTGTGTGTGTGTGTGTGAGAGAGAGAGAGAGAGAGAGAGAGAGAGAGAGAGAGAGAGAGAGAGAGAGAGAGAGAGGTTATCATACACATACTCTGTTTCTGCTGAATGTAAAGGGGTCATAAAAGCGACTCCCTTACCTCCAAGGCCGATGCTTAAAGTAAGAGTAATAACCACGATGAGACATAACGCAACAAGCAGCTCACACCTACGGGCCAGTATCCTGTACTTCCAGCCTTCACGTGAGTCATCCTCTGTTGAAAAAAAAAACACTGTATTACTTATGCAATAAAATAGCTTAAAAATCGTCCCAAACACAAAACAACAAGGCTTCAAATGATGATTCCTGAAGATACAGTGTGTGTTTTTGCTTTGCAAACTCCTCGCTATTGTCTCACCGTTCATAAAAGGCTGTACTTTTGTGACTGGCATGGCTGAGCTGGGTGTAGCTGGGGGCTGGAGCTCTTCTGATGTTATTGGTGGTTTCTCTGGTTGAACATCAGTAATAAAACTGCCCAGGGGGCTGATATTCAGAGTGTTAGGGGTCTCAACGGTGGGAAGGTCTTCCTCTGTCACAGAGACAACTTCTATCTTTGAGGTGTCTGGTTCTTCAGACACTTCTGTTTGAAGTTCCTAAAGTCAAGTCCAAAAAGATGATGAACACATTTAATATCATCAAGTCATCCAAAGCAGAAGAACAGAAAACATTTAATATAGATGTGAGATTTTACAAAAACACAGACTTTAACATGCACAATCATCTTCTAACAGACACAGCAATACGCCCACTGACAGAAGAAAACCAAACAAGATAAAAATGTTAATCATTTATCTGGCAAAAATGAAACTATTTAATTGGTTGGAGTGTGAAGCCTCCTTCCTGGGTTGCCACCTTATTATGGTGGACAGGTTTGAGTGTCCCAATGATCCTAGGAGCTAGGATATCAGGGGTTTATGCCCCTGGTAGGGTCACCCATGGCAAACAGGTCCTAGGTGAGGGATCAGACGAAGTGCAGACCAAACACCCCTTATGATGAACAGAAATGGAAACTGTATTCACCAGGGCCGGGCCTGGAAGTGGAGTACGTTGGCAAGTGCCTGGTGGCCAACCTTGTAGGGCACAGCCCGAAGAGGAGACGTGGGTCCCCCTTTCCAAGGGGTCACTACCTGTGGGAGGGGCAAAAGGGGCGCAGTGTACAATGAGCAGTGGCCGATGATGAATACCTTGACAATTTGTTCCTTGGAGCTGTGTTGGTTCATGCAGCTCTACAATATTGGGTGGACATGAAGGGCAGTTCTGCGGGATTGGCAGACCGAGTGGTGGCCCCCCATTCCACCTACAGCGGGATAAAACTCCAGAGCCTCCCTGGTAAGAGCTTGTCAGAGGATCTGCAGAGGAGGGTTGGCCAGAAAGTCAAACCTCAGATTCAGGAGGAGCAACGTGGTTTTAGTCCTGGTTGTAGAAGATTAAGACCAGCTCTATACCATTACTGTCTATTACCCTTGTGCTGGAGGGCGAGTGGGAGTTTGTTCAACCAATCTATGTGTGTTTTGTGGATTTGGAGAAGGCATCCAACCATGTCTATTGGGGAAGGGTCCTGTGGGGTGTACTCCAGGAATATGAGGTATAAGGCCCCTCGATAAGAGCTGTAAGGTATGCTAGGTGCTAAATCTTGGTGGGGTTTGTTTCCGGTGAGAGTTGGACTCTGACAAAGCTGTCCTTTGTCTCCACTTATGTTCATAACTTTTATGGACAGGATTAGGAAAAACAGGATTAAATAAATTTTTATCACCTATATCCTTGACTCTGTCTGAATTAATATGTGTCACGGGTGCGAAGGTGAGTGAAGCGGATGTGAGGATCCAAATGCGGGGAAGAACGCAGGCGGGAACGTTTTAGAGGGTTTTTAATCACGAACGCACGGGACATGAAAACAACGGACAGACAAGGAACACAGAGCTGGGAGGGTTTAAATACACGAGCAGCTGGGATCTACAGTGATTGGGAGACGAGAAGCAGGTGGGAGCAATCAGGAGAGACAGGACTGAACAGAGCGAGGAGACAGGACAGGTTGTGACAATATGTAGTGTATGTTCCCGGAATAGTCAAAGAAACTAGAGTCATCTAAATCAAACATTCAAAGATCAATTAGATTCATATTTCGTAATAAATATGTAGCTAATCCTCACCGCTACATAATGTCAAGCCAAACCAGTCTAACATCAATTCAAAACACTTCATATTAGCCTTGGGATAAGATAGGGAGGAGAGGAGGAAAAAAAGCATCTGTACTGTCCAAGAGCCGTAAGAAGAAGTAAAAGGTATCGTAGACTCTGCATGATTGTGTCGGATGGTTTTATGAATAATCTATAGTTTAACAAACCACACAGCCAAACTGATTTTACAACCCAGACATCACAAACTCTCAGATGCTTACAAGGTTCTGCTAAAACATCTAGCTTATTTCATCTATTGTCTGTTATCTGTTAGCCATCATTTCATTCATATTTTGTTATGTATAATCAGTTTAGGAAAATAGAATTAAATTCATTTGTATCAGTTATTCTGAAATGTCTTCTTTATATTGAAAAATTATTATTTTCATTTGGAATGGACAGAGTTTTATATCCAAACTTGAGCAAAGGTGACAGTTGAGGCAGGACACTCTCCGGCCTCAAGTGGAGGGATTTAAGTGTCTTTGGGTCTTTTACACCAATGAGGGAAAGATGGAGCTGGAGATGGATAGGCAGAATGGAGCTGTGTCTACAGTGATGCGGGCCTTGTACAGTTCCTTCGTGGTATATAGATTTACCAGTCAGTCAGCATTCCTACCCTCACTTGTGGTCACAAGCTTTGGGTAGTGACCCAAAGAACAAGATGACAAATACGAGCGGCTGAAATTAGTTTTCTCCGAAGAGTGGCTGGACTCTCCCTTAGAGATAGGGTGAGAAGCTTTATCATCCAGGAGGGGCTTGCAGTAGATCCACTGCTCCTCCCCATTGACAGGAGCCAGTTGAAGTGGCTCAGGCATCTAGGAAGGATGACTCCTGGATGCCTCCCTGGTGAGGTTTTCCAGGCACCTCCAACCGGGGGCAGACCTAAGGGAAGACCCAGGACACGCTGGAAGGACTATGTCTCTCACCTGGCCAAGGAACACCTTAGCATTCCCCTGGAATAGCTGGCCCAAGTAGTTGGGGAGAGGGAAGTCTGGGCCTCTCAGCTTAGGGTGCTGCCCCCATGACCTGACCTCGGAAAAGTGGAGGACAATGGATGGATGGATGGATGGAGAAACATCACAGGCTGCATGTCCACTCTTGAAGGCCTGAGGGTCTGAGTTGTCAGCGAGCTCTTGTACAGGTTTTGGACAAGGTTCTGGTTTCTACCATCATTTAGACTGGGCTAGCGGCTAGGAAAGTCCAAACAGAGCACCATGCTGTGTTAAAGATCCACTCATTCTAAACCTTCTTCATCTCAACTTCAGTTTTACAGGTGCAGCACCTTGCCACAGCTCTAGCCACAATGTCAACAGCTTTTTCACGCCATGAGATAGGTCAGAGGTCAGAGATGGAGCTCAGAGACTGACATGACAGGCACCCTCTTTCTGTCTCTTCAATCCTGTCATGACTAGTGAACACCCACAACCACGAGGGCCAGGTACATGTGTTCATTTGAGAACCTACAGACTAGAGGAACTGGCTCTCCGCCTGGTCAAGCTCATAATAAACTACAAACCATCCTGGCCAGCGCACATTTAAGCTTTTTTACTGTCTGCCAAAAGAGGTCCATCATCTGTAAAAGCTGTGATTGTTGTTGGATCAGTTAGATCCTTTTGTTGCTCCAGAACAACAAAAACACAACAAAACATATCAAATTCCTGGTGATAGGTCACTCTGAATTCTTCCTCTTGTTTTCTGAACCACATCATCACCACCTATTAGGCTGTGGAGAAAACGGTAGACTCTCAATTGGGACGATGTGTTGCAGCCATTAAGAATAGGAGCTTGTGTCAGACTGTAAGGTCTTAATGACGCAGCTAGAGCTGAATACCATGAATATTAAGCAGAAACAGGCAAAACCAAAATAAATAACTGATAAATACTGGACACCTTTTCAACAAAAATCCACAAAACCTCCATGTTGTTCGATAAGTTTAAAATGAGAACATCAGATTGTTGCAGGACTTACTGTAGAATGTTGAGATGTGTCCTCGGTATCAGCGGCAGCATCTGTGATGATGAGATGAAAGAGGAAGGACCGGTGTCAGGAAACAACAGGAATAAACACAAAACCCGAGGGATCCATGTTGTCTGAAGGTGACAGCCAACGTACCGGTTTCACTTTTCATCATCATGCCATTGTCCACGCTCCACAAAAAATAGTCCAAACTACCAAGCTGCCTCCTCCATCTTCCCCTCTGGCGTTTTTGTTGTTAGGTACCCTCTTGCCAAGTCTACCTTTACACTGGGACACCTGAGCAGTCCTGTGCTTTCAGACCGGAGGATCGGGTGGCACTGCCCCCCCCCCCAGTGGGTAAGGTTACACACTTGCATGTCTCTAACGCTGTTCTTTCTAAAAGAAAATAATGTTCTTTCACCATAAAGAAGAAATTTCAGAATAAACTTTAGGAGGAAACTGTAACTAATTTGTTACGTGGTTGTTAAAATGACGCAAAATGATGCAACTTTTCCGCGCGGAGCCGTGCGGACCTCGCGGACGCGTCAAGCATAAACCAACCTTTACTTCTGAGCTGAGCTGATGAGAGCCAGACTACTCAGGTGTTCTTGTGCTATAGATGAGCCTCAGGTTGAGAAGCCTCACTCAGCAGAAGCAGCTTGAACCAGAAATCCCTCAAACTAGCAGAGTAGGATTATTTTGGTCTAAAAGGGAAATGACACAATGAAACTAATGTTGTCATATCTAGATATGACTACAGCTAATGATGTGATTGTAATAATATTAAATAATCCCCCCCCCCCCCCCCCCTTTTTCTCTCTCTCACTAAATAGACAGACAGACTTGGGCCAATATGTATGACTGTTTTTCCTACATTATATTTAAATACACCAATAATATTAATAATTGACAGCACAGATTGAAAGGCTGAGAACCAAAGACAAAGATGAAAGGTTACGCATTAACAACACATTTAAATTAGTGGTGACGGATGGCTGCTTACACTGAGCCAGGATCCTCTGGAGGTTTCTTCCTGTTAGAAGGGAGTTTTCCTCTCCACTGTCACTAAATGCTTGCTTAGTATGAGGATTGCTGTAAAGTCACTGACACTAGTCACTAGTCAGTCACTGACACTAGTCAGTGACTCAGTGCAACCTGCTGGGATCCTTGTATAGGAAACCTGTTACTGATTGGCTTAATGAACTGACCTGTACTTTAATGTTTACTGTGTGAAGGTCCTTGAGACGACTCTGGTCGGGATTCGGCGCTATATAAATAAACTGAATTGAATTGAGTGAATAATAATGATGCTGATGTAAAATTCCATCTTCAGTCCACATCCAGACACAATTATTCTCTCTTCTGTCTCATGAACAGCAGCTGGGATGTTTATGCCCACAAAGTTTTTATTTTTTGTTCCAGCAACACACTCCTCTGGTTTTGACTTTTTCTTTCTTGTGCCTGATCCTTAGCTATATTTCTGTTTGGGTGCCATCTCCTCCACATCTGGCCACTGTTGGTCAGGTGCTAACGTGCCGTCAATCAGCCTGAGCTTTGTTCGCATTTAGAGAGAATGTGTCTGCTGGCCATGAAGCTGACCCCCACCCGCCTGAAGCAAATAGGCTGAGCGGTCATTGTTTTGTTTGTGCTGCTTTGGTTTCTGAGACATTACAAGTTTTATTTATAACCTACACCATAATAACACAGCTGGTTTTATACACAGCAGCAGAACTCTTTTTTTTTCTAGTTTTAGTTTTTATGAATGTTTTGTATGTTTCAGTACATAAACTGATATTTCTGATTATACCAGAGCATAAACAAACAAAAGGTAGGCTAAAGTTTGTATTTGTTTCAGTTGAAACTGACATTACAGGAGAAGTGATTATAAGCCTACATTGTTTTTTCACAGCAGTCAGTCAGTTTCAGGAATGAACTTCACCCAGTCCTCAAAAGGTATACCTCAAGCTGAAAGGCCTTCTTGTCCAGCAGAAATGCCACCGGAGTCTACCTCTGCTTCACCATCACTTTCCTGATCACTGATTTCCAAATCTGACCAGATGTTATGTCTGTTCAGCTTCACAAAAGT